ATGTAAGATTCTGGCAGGAATACAAGTACAAAACAGATGATTGCAAAACATAGGAAAAACACAGGAATGGCCGTTTGATTGGACCGCAGTAAAAACACAGGAATTAGAGGAGAGATGAAGACTCATAGGAAAGTTTCCATGAGGTAGAACCTCATGCTAGATTTCCTCCAAAACTTGCATGGCATTAGGCATTCTATAGGAATTTCATAGGATTCTATAGGATTTATTCTTTTGTTTCAAAGGGCTATATAGGAAAAATTCATGTAGAAATAAAATCCTTTAGAATTTTTATGAATTTTCTTTGAATTAAAGGGGGCCTTAATATGTTCTGGTCAGGTTTGGATATCGGTCATCAGCTAGATATAGAAAATTAGTACTATCCAAATGATTATCAATCGGTATGAACAGTAGGGGAAAAACACATTTTAATACTGCAAGGCACGTCTGCATACACCACACAGAATTGATTTAATTATTTACCAGCCAATTAGCAAATAAAAGTCTCAGGCCATGGCAGGTATAATAGCATGCTGTAAACCAGCTGTAAACATATTTTAAGTAGATAAATAAGGAGAGAGAAGGACAGCGGGCTAAAGATTTGTAACCATCTGTAGCACGGACTCCAAGGCGCAGTGTGTATGATAGGTGGGACCAGGATTAATAGTGTCCTTCTAAAGTCATGCAACGCACGACCAAATGGCTAGTAGAGATTGGGAAAATTAGAACCAAGCACATTCCATCACTCGTCATTCAATAAATATATTGCCATGACAAACTGCTCGAATCAAATCAAAATATTTTCTTCACCTCAAACTAGTGCAAAAGTGAACAAAAACACACAAACCAACCAATGTGAAAAACAAATTTTCACAATATACTTCACGTGCACAAAGAAAAAACAACATAAAAGCGCACGAATAACATAAAGTTCTTCGTGTATCCCAAAATTAAAAACACACGAGTGCATGCAACAACAAAAAAACATTATAATTCGAACTGATTAACCTCTCAAGAGTACTCAAGACAAAAAAAAATTCAACCGTTCTTGTCTAGTCTTGCATAGAAAATAAAGAAAATAAAATAAAACATCTAGAAAAAAATCAACCGTTCTGGTCTAGTCTTGCATAGGATTAGCTATATTTATGGCGCCATATGATTCAGTAGAAAATAGGCGGCATGTATTTACATTAATGTAAGTTCTTAAATTACATATGTAATTTTATTTTAATGTATTTACAATGTAAGTCTTAAATTTACATATGTAAATCGTATGTAATTATAGTACAAGTACAATGTAATTAGTATGAATAATTTATCCACCAATAATATAGTTTAATCTCCAAGTGAAAGCAAATACTAGCACCAAATCTCGAAGATAATCGACTGCAAAAACTAGCAAAAACATAGATGCTCTAAGATCTGACTATAAAATTAACAAATTTGCGGCGACACAAATATAGCAATTCCGAAAACATCTTGATTATAACTTGTAGCACGTCGTGAGGAGGCATTTGAAGGCCAAGAGCGAGGCCGCGACGGTGGCGGCGATGCCGATCAACGCGCAGGAGCAGCAGCACAAGTCGGCGTCCATCGGGCTGTTGCTGCGGCGGCGCTCCGGTGGTTCTTTCTGACGATCATCCGCCGCCTCCGCCGCCGGCGTGCGGCCGCCGACGCGACGGTCGCTTGATGGTTGTTCAAGATCCTCCGCCATGACTTGATCAAAGAGCGTATGCGTGTGCTAATCGGCGTCGTTTATATATAGAGATGTTGGTGCTAATTATTCCATGTTATGAGGATGGAATATTTGATTGTGTTTGTAAACGGACATGATCACCGGAATCAGATTTCTAGCCTTTGATTTGATGGAGAATATCTGCTGATTAATCAGAATGGAAGGAAAGAGTACGAGAGATATATGATGGATGATGATATGGTCGTATAGATTTTCCTTTACTCCTCTGTTCCTTTCCATTCCAAGCTTTGATTTGAGCATTTTGAGGCAAGTTACCAAAACTGGGCACATGAAAACTGCTCAAGATTAATTGCCCCAGAAAAAAAATTCATAATAGTACAGCTTTGTGATATGCCAAGTATATAAATATATGAAGTTATAGAAAGTAATAGTGGGCAAATTTAGTCTCTGGAACCACCAGAGTCAGCGTAGAAGTAGCGCAATCGGTTCTCTATCAGGTTACATATATGATATTAATCCCTCTACTTCTTTATAAGGCGTATCAAAATGTCAAATAATCTTACTTTATTGAATTTGACCAACAATTACTCCAATTTTAAACACATTTAATGCATAAAAAATATAACAATTGAATTATATTTCAATGCATTGTCATATAGTATTATATTAGCCTTCTGGATACAAACAAAATAATTTATGAGAAATCAATGGTCAAAGATTTATTAATTTTTAACTTATTGACTTTATAATATACCCTATTATAAAAATAAAAGAGGAGCCGAAGGGAGTACCGATCGAGTACATAGCAGGTTTTATGCACAAAAGGAGATTTTTCTCTGTTAACAAAAACTGAAATTTAATTATTGCAAGATGGAAAGGCGCATAACTACAAAATGTTCAACAACTCTAATAGTGCAAGTTTTTTAAAATTTAAAATAGAAAATTCGAGCAAAATTTAGTTTAACTTTGCCAAATACTGTCGTACCGCCGGTTATGATCTCGCAGTTCATCGGAAAAGTAAATCACTAGTTACTATAATCATCAGAGTTGCACATTACACATAAATACCTTGGTAATGCTATCTGGCTAGCATTATTATAAAAGGCACATAGAAAAGGGCACTATAAGTATCGGAACAAATAAAATCGACACCTATAGTGCTTTTTGGATCCACACAAGCATCCCCAGGGCGCCAAAGAGATCTACACAAGCACCCCCGGGTGCCAAAGAAAAAACCTGGTACCTTTCAATTGAAATTGAAATAGATGTTGGATTTTAAATAGAATCAGCACCTCTATTTCCTAAGGTGCTATTGTCGTACCGCCGGTTATGATCTCGCAGTTCATTGGAAAAGTAAACATGATCACTAGTTAGTGTAATAATCAGAGTTGCGCTTTACACGTAAATGTTTTGGTGATGCCATCTGGCTAGCATTACTATAAAAAGGTACATAGAAAAGGGCACAATAGATATCAGAACTAACATCGACACATATAGTACCTTTTCGGTCCACACAAGCACCCCCGGGGCGTCAAAGAGGTCCACACAAGCACCCCAGTGGGGCGCCAAAGAAAAAACCTGGTATCTTTCAATTGTAATTGAAATAGATGTTGGATTTTAAATGGAATAATCCCTCTATTTCCTAAGGTGCTGGTTCCATATAAATCCGGTACCTTTTGCTTACATCCAAAAGTAAGGTGACAAAATATTAAGTACCAATCATCATGTTACTAATTTTAAAGATTATACAAAGTTTTTTTAACACCTCAAAACTAAGTACCTATCATGGATGCACGTATCCAGTTAGTTCTAATTACAAAATACATTTGAAAATACCTTTACGGTGATATCTAATGTTAATATTAATTATCCATCAGTATTATCATCGGTAAGAGTGATATAGAAATTGAGAAAATTAGATCCAAACACATTCCATCACTCGTCATTTAATAAATACATTGCCGTGAGCCCGTGATTAACTGCTCGAATCGATTAAAAATATACATCAACATAATTTCTTCACCTCAAACTACTGCAAAAGTGAACAAAAAACACAAAGAAAAGCATTGTGAAAAACAAAATTTCACAATATAATTCACGTGCACAAAGAAAACAATATGAAAGCGCACGATCCAGATTAAGTTCATGTCTCGCAAAATTAAAAACACGAGTGCACGCAACAACAACAAGAAGAAAACATTATAGTACGAACTGATCATATTAACCTCTCAAGAGTACTCAAGACAAAAAAAAATCAACCGTTCTTGTCTAGTCTTACAGAGAAAAGAAAGAAAAAAAAAACATCGTGATTACAAATTTATAATTATAAATTTATAACTTGTAGCACGTCGTGCGGAAGCATTTGTAGGCCAAGACGAAGACCAAGACGACGGCGGCGATGCCGATCAACGTGAAGAAGCAGGCGCACACGTCGGCGCAAATCGGCCTCTTGCTGCGGCGGCGCTCCCATGGTTCTTTCTGACGATCACCCGCCGCCGCCGCCGCCGCCGCCGGCATGCGGCCGCCGCCGCGACGGTCGCTTGATGGTTGTTCAAGATCCTCCGCCATATATGACATGAAATTAAAGAGCGTGTGTGTGCTAATCGGCGTCGTTTGTATATATAGAGAGAAGAGATGTTGGTGTGTTAATTATTCCATGTTATGAGGATGGAATGTTTAATTGTGTTTGTAAACGGACATGATCAGCGGAATCGGATTTCTAGCCTTTGATTTGATGGAGAATATATGTTGATTAATCAGAATTGGAAGGAAAGAGTACGAGAGATATATGATGGATGATGATATGGACGTATAGATTTTCCTTTAATCCTCTGTTCCTTTCCATTTCAAGCTTTGATTTGAGCATTTTGAGGCAAGTTATGAAAACTGGGCATATGAAAACTGCTCAAGATTAATTGCCCCCCAAAAAGAAAAAAGAAAAAGTTTTTCATAATAGTAAAGCTTTGTGAATTATGAAGTTATAGAAAGTAATAGTGGGCAAATTTAGTCTCTAGAACCAAAGTCAGCGTAGCAGTAACGCAAATCGGTTCTCTATCAGATTCCATATATGATATCAATCCCTCTATATCTTTTTTATAAGGCGTATTAAAACGTCAAAAAGTCTTACTTTATTGTGTTTGACCAAGAATTACTCCAATTTTGAAAACATTTAATGCATAAAAAATATAACAACTGAATTAATTGTGTTTCAATGCACTTTCATACAGTATTATATTAGGCCGGTTAATACAAACAATATAATTTATGAGACAATATAATTTACGAGAAATCAATGGTCAAAGATTACTAAATTTTTAACTTATTGACTTTATAATATACCTTGTTATAAAAAGAAAAGAGGAACCGATGGGAGTACATAGCAGGTTTTATGCACAACAGGAGATGTCTCTGTTAACAAAAACTGAAATTTAATTATTGCAAGATGGAAGGGCGCATAAACTACAAAATGTTCAACAGAACTCTAACTGTGCAAGTTTTTTTTTTTTAACTGGACAGGCTCTCCACATCCTAAACAACTGAACAACATTGGTTCAAAGACATCAAGCAGGTATACATTATGCGGGAACCGATCGATGCTATTGTACAGTTGGGTGTAAATTAGAGCCGCTACCGACTGATACCAACCGAGTTTCAGAGGATTGCGCATCGGTTTCTTTGTTCTGCGGGAGATATTGTCGCCTGTTGGAACCTGTTTGGATCAAAGGTGTCCACCCCATACTGCCAGAATACATTGGAACTGAGTTATAAGGAAGAATGGGCATTCAATATTAAGAATCACTGATAACGATTGATGAACAGAGTATACCTTTTCTCTCATTCTTTGGCTCCACGCATCGTTTCGGATTGGACGGTAGTCAAGGTTGGGCACCCTAGGGTCAGCAACAGGTTGCTTGTTCACCAACGGCTGCCGGGTTGAAGACCTTGGGGCAATGTACTCGTCATCACTGTCATAGTCTGCTTGATTGCCTGACTGCACTATGAGAGCTACAGTGAACAGCACTGCCTGCAAATGAGAGTTTTAGTTGCACTGCCTAGTGAAATCTTTTATCCACACTGGTAATAAATATTAGGCCCCAATCGTTTGGCCAAATGTGGATAATGTGCCATCCAACGTATTAGCAAAATAATAATAATTTGTGGATAAAACTTTTATATATGTGTTCTTAGCGACTTAAATGCAAATGCTGAAAAATAAACTTCAATGAAAAAGCTTCAAAATCAACTTCAAAATTAACTTCTAAAATTTAAATTTTGGCAGCGGCTGATGCTGAATGGAGGAAACGATGGGAGCTATATTCCAGTTCTATGGCACACAAAAGATGAGACAAAGCATGAAGAGAACACAAAATAGATCATGTGCAGCTTACCAGAAGTGCCAATTGTTTTCCAGTATGTTCCAGTCAGGTCTATTCCAGTATTATAACATTTAAAATGTTTCAATATGCACTACCGGGTCTGCTTGTGTTAATACACTCTACTCTGACAGACTGTCAAGGCATCTTCATAACCAGTACACCTTGTTTGACGACATCATTTTTATATTCAAGGTTGAAAATACTGAAACAAACTGTGACTGGTCATGCAAATTAGAAAACCGTGCAATGTCAACTCGCGCACAGTGCACTTTGTATAATTGTATTGGACACTGGACACGGGGCAGAGAAGAGGAAGTAAAACATCATAAATAGACTTGTTAAGGACAGGGCAGACAGGATTGTTTAGGCAGTTCAGCACATGCACGTTGAAACCGTTTTTGTATTAGCTCATTGAAACTGTTATAGTTAAACCAATCTCAAACGTTGCATATTGTACAATTCTTTATCTGCAGCTAAAATCATGTTTGGATTCTGAATGCTTGAATGTGTTGACATGAAAAGCACACTGAATTCATATTAAATAACAATTAGTCCCCAAGACATAGTATGGTTGCATTAATATCCAAGGCGTTTACTATTGTCCACTTTTACCTCAAATAGTACAGCTCCAAGTGCAACCCACTTTGCGATTCTCCAATTCTCCTTCAAAAAGCTGTACATCATGTCAAAGTTACCAGTTTTATCAACTGGAATTACCTGCATAATAACAAGGCATTAAATGTGAATATGAATAGAACAAATAATGCTCAACAAATGAATATGACAGATTAGGTGTACTCACATCTTTCCAGCTATGGTTGAAGAAAATGAAACCTCCTGCAGCAAGCTCTACCAGTATGAACAGAATAATGAGGAACGAATACTTTTCTGAATGTCAAGGAAACCATCCCATGCAAGTACAAGTAAGTAAGATAGATATGTTACTGATAACAATCGAAATCAATCACCATCAATAAAAGCATCAGAAATTGCATGCAAAACCTTTCATAAATAACTAACCATACTAATGAAACTAAACTAAATCAAGTCAGCTAAAATACTCCTAAATTTGATTGATTTTCGATCAGGAATTAATGTTGGATGTGTATAAATGTTTCCTGATTCTTATGGCTGATTCCTTGCTCCACAGTGAGTATAAAAGTATTTAGTGATTGATACTAAAAGTAGCATGCATCAGTGGGAAACAACAACTGCAGATATCGCGTTCATAAACATGCATATTAAATTTGGATACAAAGGATAAGCAGCACCCGCCCCTCGATGCTCCAGCACAACCAAAGATGGATGTAATGAAGAGTATTACACCAACACCAATAAACGCGTAAATAAACCTGCAACAAACAAAAAAGATGTAAAGAAAAATATATGCACAGGATTCACAAGCCAGGCTTCCTAAACCACGGGAGTTTGCATGTATGGCACTTCAAGCAGAACTTTAACATACAGCAGAAAAGGTAGCACACTAGTCATATGCTGCAAAGTGAGGATTCATTACTCCTTGCTAATCACATAAAGCCTCTGAGGTTACTGTGGGCACCATAATAAAGCATCTAGATTGGCAGCTCTTAAATGGGATTACCACCCTCTTCCCCTCTCACCAAACATCGTTCCACAAGGTTGAAAAAGAAAAAAAAAACACAGAACCAACTCACAAATTTGATCTCTCAAATTATTCTCAAACAGAGCAAAGGAGATATGTATTTCAGGTACATTATTCCATTCTGCAGATTATTATTTCAGTGCTAACTAAGCAATTAAGTCATTCTTCAGTGCCACCTGACATGCATGTTTCTACAATTGATATGTTTCTACAATTAGCTTCGTACGGCATGTGAATTGATGCTAAGAATCTAATAATTTCTCCCCTTTTAATAGAGGCGCCGTATCTCCTCAAATTGCCATAATCACACCAAAAATCAAAGCTCTATCAAGACAAATTAGATCAAGAAATGACGCACCATGCAGCGGAGAGCCTCTCCGCCGTCCCATCGGGCAAGGACGACACGTCGAGGAGGAGCAGCAGCGGCCTCCCGAGCCGCACCATCTCGCCGCCTCCGCCGCCGCCGGGAGCCACCGCCGGCGCAGGCGGCAGCGGCGGCGGCGAAGGCAGCAGCTGGAGCCACGCCACGAGGAGGTAGGCGCCGTACCCCATCATGGCCAGCCCGACCACCATCACCACCAAGTTGAGCAGCTTCAGGACCCACTCGAAGAACCCCCTGCACGCCATCCCCTTCTTCTTCCTCCCCTCAAATCCCGATGGCGAAGCGCATCAATTGCAAGAAAAGAAGAAGAAAAAAAAAAGATTGGGGATTTGGTGGAAAGGTGGCGGCTTTGATCGATCCGAGTGGTTCTTGGTCGAGGGCGAATCGGGGGAGGAATTAGAGTTATTGGGTGGATTGGGGATTGTGGTTCTTGGCGATCGGGAGGTGGGGTGGGGTGTCGTGCGGTTCTTCTTCTCCTCCTCTCGTAAACTGGGAGCTCCAAACTATGGTATGGCCTTGGCCTCTCTAACGTGTTCTTTTCACCTGTAAAGCTAAATGTAAAACGCAAAGCATGAGGCAGCCGTTGAAGAAAAATATTTAGCAGTTTCCTTCTGATTTAATGCAACTCAACACCGCCTAATTATGATCGTTTAGGTCATCTCCTCCTTATTAATCGTTATTTTCTCTGTTAAAGGATACTCCCACCGTTTTTTAATAGACGACGTCGTTGACTTTTTCTCATATGTTTTACCATTCATCTTATTTAAAAATTTTATGCAAATGTATAAGATATAAATCACACTTAAAGTATTATGAGTGATAAAATAACTCATAACAAAATAAATTATAATTACGTAAATTATTTTAATAAGACGAATGGTCAAACATGTGAGAAAAAGTCAACGACGTTATCTATTAAAAAACGGAGGTAGTATGTTTTTTTTAAAAAACTTATCACTCTGACCCAAAATATGTTAACGTAATACCTTGGGATGTAAGATACTCCCTCCTTCCCTAAATGTTTGACGCCGTTGACTTTTTTAAACATGTTTGACCATTCATCTTATTTCCAAAACTTTTATAAATTTGTAAAACTATATGTATACATAAAAGTATATTTAACAATAAATCAAATGATAGGAAAAGAATTAATAATTACTTAAATTTTTTGAATAAGACGAACGGCCAAACATTTTTAAAAAAGTCAACGGCGTCAAACATTTTGGGATGGAGAGAGTAAGAGTATATCCAGATTCGTATAATGCTAAATGTGATATATTCCGTACTAAATTAATTTATTTTAAGATAAAAAGAGCAGTATAGTTGACCAGTTAGGTTAAACTATTTATAAATTTATTTTTTACATATACAGTATTTAGTTTTCTATTATAATCAATATATATAATCCACAACATTAATCTGCTCGACAAGCCTCCACAGTAAACCAGCCGATTTTGCCGCCTAATTTTGATTGTTTAGATGCAAAGTTGCAAACCAGTCGATTTGTTTACAGTTTCTCTAAAAAAAATGAACTTGATGATGTGATTGCACTAAAAATAGTTTTTTTTTTTTGAGAACACACTAAAAATAGTTGACACGTTCCATTTATCGGTGGCATGTGGCGTGGCAAATCTGACGCGCTGGTTTGGTTTCTAGTGGTTTTGAAGCATCCATGGATAGGGCATCTGTCACAAAAAATGAACAGTCTCTAGTTTCTTATCCTCTTTGGATGGATGCACTCGTCATCATCAAAAGGTTAAACGAAATTCCCTGACCTGTTCTTCATCTCGTCGGTTTGGAACTTTCTGATCGATTTGGAATTGGGCGGCTCTAGAAAAATCCCAGCTAGAACAGCTAAGCTGTTGAGTCAGATGTCCAAACAGTTGTTTAGTGAGAGGTGTTAAGAGGAAATTGTTTGTTTTTAGCCGTCAAAAGTAACTGGAGAGGTAGCACTTGAGTCCAAACTGTAAAGCAATTTTCAGACATGACACTTCAAAAAGATTTGGGACTGTAGATGAGTTGGCTAAACATGCTTAAAGTTGCAGAAAACCAACAGCAGAATTGACAGGGGTATATAAGGGGGTTGGGCATGAAAGCAACAAAGGAAGAGAACAGTGTGTATCGTATTAGCCCTATCAAAAGATGAGCAGAAACAGTCACGTAATGTTAACACATGTTGGATGGAGGCTTGAGTGACACTACAACCAAACAAGGGGCTACAATTTCTTTTACAATCTGGCAATCTGTTTGTTTTCGTGTGTCCCAGTATCTTCATGTATCAAGGATTTTTTTCCTGACCTTTCTCAAAACAATAAAAGTACACCATCTGTTCTATAATTCAGTTGTCTCCTTCATTTGGCATCACCCCGGAGCAAATGGCTTTTCGTTTCTCGTTTCATCATGGTAAATCTCTGTCTAAAACCTGAAATATATTTTGAAGTAATGTTGCAGTAAGTTAAATATGCACAGTATATGCTCATGGCGTTAATATAAAACAGTGGTAGCAGGACCATATTTTCTCGTTTCAGAAGAAAAATGACAGCACAAAGCTTTTTAGATACATGGCAGTACTGATCACAACTAGTTTGACATTACAAAAATAAGAGAAAAACAGTTACTCTGAGTTGTGCAATCAGACTTTACCAGTTTGCATTGTACATTATAAGCCCCTAATAAAACTATTTATTATGCGATACAACAATAGATCCATCATGAAGAAAACAAGAAACATGAAATTTGCATCTGTCATGTGGGGACGCCACTACCAGCGGAGGAACAAGATGGACATGGTGCAGGCGCATGCGCAGCAAGCCACATGAATCAAGGAGTGCGAATTTGGAAAGAATCATGCAAGGAAAGTATTAATTAGGAGAGAATAAAGGTCATTTCCTTGTATTAGAGGCCAAGTGCCAAATATAAACTATGTAATCAGCTATCTTTGGGGATAAGAAATATGAACCCAATTTCCTAATCTCCCTCTCTCTCCAAATCCTTCCCCCTTTCACCATTGGTCGATCAGGGAAGAACCCTGACGCCATTGCCGACCCAGGCTACAAGCTACGTAGCCGCGGTCCTGCTACCCTTGGCGCCGACGCGCTTGACAACCAGTGTGTAAAGCGTATCATAAACATCCTATATTTCTCCTAGTCCTTACTCTACATGATCCAGATTCCAGATTACACAGTTTCTACATTCTAGTACGCACAATTGCAGTCAACAGTTACGATTAAATTCAGGCAAACTTTCTCCAAGAAATTTCAGTTAAATGCCTTACTCGTTTTGGGCTTAAAGGTATTCAATCTAACTATGACATAAACAATTGCTCACAATCTATATAAGGTAGAAGATTGTCAGAATTAAACAACACAAGTGTTGGAAAAAGAGACAGAACAAGGTCATCTGATAGGGTATTGCCAAGCAATTAATCAGAATATGAACAATTAGACAAAATTGTTTCATCCTAATATACAAAAGTGTTTACGTATTTTATAATAACACCAGTATTAGTTATTCTTCAATAATTCATCTGAATAACCAACCATAACAGTACCTCCCTTCAATTATAAAACATCCCTCCAAGGGAAAACTGAAGATTTGCCACCATGTACCATGTTCAATGTTTATGCATTTTAGGACTAGACAGACATTAATCCATTATCCAGCTTGATCAGAGGCATCAAGCAGTAAAACACAGCACTTCATTATTTTGTGTTTCAAAATAATAAAGTGCCAGAGCATTAAGCGCAGCAATTTCTTCCTTTCTCATATGAAAGCGGCAAGTTTGATCTCTGAGCATGTTTAGGACATAGTAGAAAAAATAATAAAAAAGAAAGAAAAGAAAATTCTATGCACAGATCAAATAGAAAGTAACCCTGGATAATATTGAAACACAACATCATCTCATGGTCATTTGCAACAAGCAGTTAAGCACACAGGCTGAGGCTATGCAAGAGACTTTGGAATGCACTCGGCATGAGGATACCTTTTGGACTGTCATACTATAAACGATTTAATGATTGTCTCAGTTATAAAAAGGATAATATGGCCAACTAAAATAGAACAGCCAAACAGTTGGTGTGTACAACTGATTAGTCGATCACAAGAGTTGATGGCACTCTGAATCCATGAGTCATGGCAGTTTGTCAAGCGCCATTGCTAGACAGACTGACTAATTGCCCATACAAGGGACTTTGCACAGCACTGAACAACACAAGCCATATAAACCAAATTGCGAGTTAATGAGCTTACGGATTGAATAGTTTCTAAACATGTTACTACATCGATATCGTTCCTATCACTAGGATCCACCATTCAAAGGATCCATATGCCAATGTGACTAAATCAGGAGGTTTTCTAGCTTCTGAAAATGACGAGAAACTGTTACCATTACTGCATCAAATTGCTTAAGGCAGAAAGGATTGTACCAACCTTACTCTCAAAGAAGAATTGCAGGCAACTAGGTAGCATTTGCAGCTATGGAGCTGCCTCCGATGCTGCCTTGCTGCTCCGGAAATCGCGCTTGAGCTCGGTGACCCTCTTCATGCAAGCTGCCTTCGTCTTCCCGGGCACCGCCACCGCCACCTTCTCCCACCTCATCGCCGTGTCCTTGGGGAACTCCTTGAGCGCGTTGAGCAATGCCCGGTCATCGCCGGCGCTCCAAGACCCATCACCACTCTCCCCTCCTCCTCCTCCGGCATTGCCACTTCCTGCGTCGGTCGCCTCGGACCTCGGGTCGAGCGGCTTGCGCTTGCGGAGGAACTGGTCGAACGAGGCCCCCGCGGCAGCAGCGCCGCCGCCGGACTTCGCCGCGCGGATTACGCTCTCCGGCGTGCGGCGGCCGCCGAACGCCGCGGCAATCTTCTCCCACCGCTGCGGCTCACCCGCCGGGTGCTTCACCATCTGGCGGCGGAGGATGTCCATCTCTTGGTCGGTCCACTCGCCGGCGTCCTCCACCGCCTCGCCGCCATCCGACACGGCCGTCGCCGCAGCCGCAGCCGCAGCCGCCGCGTGTCGCGGCGGCGGAGGCGCGATCGGATCTGAGGGCTTCGGGGGCGGAGGCGTCGGGTTCGAGCTCGAGCTCTGGCGCCGACCGCGGCGGGAGGTGGGGGCGGGATCCGAGACGGGTTCCTCGACGGGCTCCTGCTCGGGGAGGGGATCCCCGCGGCCGACGGAGACGTCGCCGCCGGTGGCGGAGGAGGGCGCGAAGGGGGCGAGGAGGAGGGAGGACGCGACCCAGACGACGACGGATGCGAGGACCTGGTAGTCCGGGAGGAGGTAGTACGCCGCGGCGAGGAGCGCCACGGCCGCGGCGGCGCAGGCGGCGGTGTGGGGGAGGGAGCGGGTCGGTTGGGACGACGAGGCGGTGGTGGCACCGTTGGAGTTAGCGTTGCTGCGGGAGTGGATGACTCGCGCGCGTGGCTGGTAGTCCCAGTCGTCGTCGATGAACTCCATCGCCGGCGGCGAGGGAGCTCGCCGGAGAGAACTCGCCGGAGATGCAAGAGGAGTGGAGATGCGTGGAGTAGCCGCCTCTGGTAGTGGTAGGTGCTCTCCTTATAAAATGGGCCCGCATATTGATTACATGGGCCGGAATTTCAAAAAAGCCCAATTACAATTCGGGCCTTTGTCTGATTTTGGGCTGGAAGTTTCACAAATAGGCCCAAGATGGATTGCGAGTTGTGGGCTGGTCTGAGAAGAAAAGGCCCACGAGAAGGCTTCTTGTACATGAGCCATTCGCTGGGTAGCTGCTGGTGTAGTTGATCCGAAGTTGGGAGTGGAGATGCGAGCGGCAGCAGGAGGCCGCGGCTTCCTCCTCCACCCGCGGCCGCCATGGCGAGCTCCCGCGACTCCTCCTTGTCCTCCTCCTCCAGCCACCGCCACCGCGCTCGCGAGGCGGCTTCACCACCGACGCCTACCTGAAGGTTGGTCCTCCTTAGACGCCTCTGGTACTGTAGTCTTCGCCGTCCCCGCGGTTCGCCCGCAGGGTGTTCGACGAAATGCCCGCCTCCGGTTTAGGGCTGTTTTGGTTGCATGAGTCGCGCGCATCGGCACATGCTGCATCTCTGGCTCTGCGGATCCCCTTAGGTGCGTTGCGGAAGACCTTGTGCTGAGCACGTTCTTGTTCATGGGAGACTGTGTGTGATTTCCGGTTACATGCTTTCCGCCAAACCAATCGGACCTTTTTTTATTAGCTACTGTGAGCATGAGACGGCGAGGATGTTTGAATTCTTGTGTAGCTCTCGTTCCTGCTCTTCCCTGGGCACTGACTGCCTTATGGGGCGCTGGGGTGTTCAATGAAATGCCCCGGGCAAGCTGGAGCTCTCAGTCTGAATATGCTTGCAAGCGCCAAAACCTTTGTGTCGCTGCAATTATATTTTTCTTCCCCACATTATCTATTCTTGTTGAGGGAAACTATGGCGGGCTTACGCTAACCTGAACTTTTATTGATCACGAAAATGGGTTAACACAAGCAATTGAGCATCGAATTAAGGAGGGCAGGGAGAGGGAAACACAGTATGTCTTCTGAAATAGCATTATGAACCTTCTCTATTCATTCACGTAAATCAGGTATTTTGTCCACCCTGGAACGAGGTGTTTCTACACTGCATTTGCGTTGTTGGGTTCACTGTGCAACATGTGGTGTTACGTTACATGACATATCACAGGCAGAACCTGTGAATGGAGCAAAGGTATGTTACTTTGAGAAACCTTCACTCAGCATGTTGATTCATCTCTATTTTTAAATCTGAGTTTCGGTGTATCCTCCTTTGCTCAAATGCGATGAGTACTTCTATATGACTAATTCTGATTGCTCCTGCTTTGTTTATTTAAAATACTACTATACTAGTGTGCATTATTTATTCATTTCAAGTTCTCAAATATAATGTTTCATGTTCTTAATTGGCAAGAATCCCCATTTATCTGTTAGCTTTTGAAATGGTGTTTATCTGCTGCTAAAACTGAATGTCTGCTCAAGTTTTTTTTTTTTTTTACCCAAACCTCTTGGGCATGCCCTAGAACTTGCGTCCAGGTTAGAGATGCTCTTTCCCCATGATTTCGATGCTTTGTTTATAAAATATAACAGAAATTGTGCTGTTTATTTAGTACAATTTGTGGGACATAACCTGTTCATTTTCACATGTTGTATGTGTGTGTTCGTGCGTGTGTGAGTTTGTCCTTATGTCCTCTGCATAGTGGCTATACCTATATGATACAAGTACATCACATTTAGGATGCTAAGTAATAATTTGTGACTATTTGAGTTCTTTTGTAAGTAGATCTATCTACAAGAACTGTTGTCCTGGAAGGTAACCAGTTCTAAAGGACGAGTTTATTAGTAGCATAATATGTGAACTTCAGCAAATGCAACAAGTGATGTTCTGGTAGGATGTAATTAATTCATCACACCACAAGCTGAGATGTGGTTGGTACATGTCTATAAGTTAACACTATACACAAGTTCACATAAGAATAATTTCCTCTGTTAGACATGTTAGTTCCATCAGCAATTCAGTATATTTACATATTTAATAGGATACACCATTCCATTTACTTTATATTTTGCTAATTACATTTGTTTTCAGTCCGACCTTGTTCAAAAGCATGAGAAGGTAGGTGCATTTCAGAGAATACCAATGGTGATGCCTGCAACTGATATACTTATGTCAGCACAAAGAAAATCAAGAAATGTACCACCTACAAAGGGTATTATTCCACTGACCATCTATTGCTCTTTTTTTTTCCCTCTGAATCACCCATCACATTTCACATGGCATTCAGTGTCACCAAGCTTGTTTTGCAATCCATATGTTCTGTAGGTATAGCAAATATTGCTAAACGTGAAAGGAACAAAGGGGCAAAACAACTTGATGCCTTAATGAAAGTAAGCCCTCTACTCTGTTAACCTGCCAATCAAAGTAATTCATCTGGGTTATTGACAGCAGTTTTCTTTCTCAGGAAATTTCAGTACCTCTGAGAACATATACAGAAAACTTCCCTAAGAGGAGGGATCTTCACCCCTATGAGAGATCTCTCATTGAGTTGACTTTTGGGGAGGGATATTACGAGAAGGTATGGCTCTAAAATGACTTGCCACTCTCGATCAGTGCAAGAATCATCAGAGTATTATCTATTTACTTATTCAACTAAAGTCTATTTTTCATGGAAATTTTGCATTGTTTGTTGAGTTATTATAATCTTTAGTAGTGCCTTGACAGGTAATAGCACGAGTGGATGCTCTCAGGAAAAAGATTAATTCTGTCGGGAAGCAACATGCTTCTGTCTGTGCTAAGGTTAGAGTAGATGTTGATTTTTTTTAATGCTACTACGATTTTTATACATGAAAATAATTTACCCTTGCCTTAAGTACTGTTGAGTTCTCGAATCAAGCATTTAATAGATAATTAATATCTCAAAGCAACTATTAACATGAATTTATGAAAATACAACTATTAGCATCTCAAAGCAAGAATTTTAGCATACTGAATTCTCTGTAGACCTTAAACATGCAAAGATATTGGACAGTTGCATTCTGATAGGATAGGATAGGAGTATGTAGTAACAAAGGATGAAGGTTTGTTGATACTCACTCAACACCAACATACTCATTAAGCCATTTTATAAGGAATGAGAGCAATGTACAGCAATGTGCACGGTTTTTTTAGTATTCTAAGTATTTTGACCTAGTTGAACCCCAAGCCTTGTATTGACTGGCACATGATTTAGGCCTGTTTGGAACAGATTATTCATCAGATTATCGTTGTGGATTATCTAATTGATTATAGGGATTTTTTTTAGAAATAAACTTAACAAATAGCTCAGAACAGGTGGTCTAAGCAATGCAGTACAAGAAAGTTTTTTTGAGGAAACATATTTTTAGAGGTGTAGAGCAATCTGTGGAAATAATCCAGTGAAGTAGCTGAGAAAAATATTGTTTGATCCTGCTGATGCTGGTCATAGTCAAAATTCCATAGGACCCGTTTTTGTCAAAACAAAAAAAGGGCATGTCCTATATCAAACAGACTTCTCTTACATTAGACCAATAATGACCAATCAAATGTTTTTTTTTTAAGTTGTAAGGACTAAGGAAGTTGTGTATATATTCAGTCTTCTTCATGATATCTGAGTATGATGCATGACTGGGCATTGACATGAACTGCCACAGACAAGCCCTTTAACTACCTTGAAACATTCTTTCTTCTATCGAAATAGCATATAATTTGATCCAGGTTGTATGTCTGACCTTGACAGTCATTAACGAAGCGTGAAGCAGAGGAGCGACTCAGTGAGGTTAGTTCATGTTCGAGCAGACATAAACGAATGGCCTCTGATTCATACCTTGTGTTTTATAGTGCTCTTGTTGAAAGTTTCTAGTTTTCATGTTTTACTAATTTGATGCTTTACAAATTTGTCTGTATTATTAATTCTCTAGGGGCGGAAGAAACTTGAGGAAGCTTTCGAGCATGGGAAGTGGGTAATTGATGATTTAGTAAACATTGCAAAGGTAGGTTTTGATAGCTTAATTTACTATAAATTTGGTGTGAAACTTCCAAGAGAATGGTTATTATGTCTCATACTCTACTTTTGTTTACAGTTATTCATGCTTCTAAGATTGCTATTGCATTTATGGCATGCTTAAGCACTTCTGATTGATTGATGATCTATGGCAGACTTTGCGTTCTATGCCAGTTGTTGATCCACATATACCTACACTTTGTCTTGTTGGATCACCCAATGTGGGGAAGTCATCATTAGTTCGCATATTATCGTCTGGAAAACCTGAGGTAAGTATATCCCTGTATAATGCTTAGTTGGAGTGCTGTTTGGTGGTAGGGAGTAGGGACAGCTTCATGAATTATATATTGCTAGTTTGCAATTGTATGAAGGTTGTAGCCATCACTTTTGAACTATTACATGGCTTATAGTTCTCGAATATAAGTTGTCAGAACTCATGCCTCACTGATTATTGCTCCTATTTCTTAAAATTCCACTCCCTCATTGGCGAAACAATAAATAAAGCAACTAAGCCCAAGTCTTGTTTTTTCATCACGATAAGACTACTCTAAGGAAAATATATAATATTTGTTTGTGAATGATGACTTCTCTATGTTTAACAACAGATGATTAATAGCATATTGTCAAAAAATTTAATTTACTTTAGCTCATGCTTTTAGGTATGTCTTTATTTGTTCTCTATTCTCAATATAATTGATATCTCTATGGTTTTATTCTACTCTGTTTTCTATTTTCTGTCTAATTTTCGATGCCTTATACCATTCAGCTACTTTCAGGTCTGCAGCTACCCTTTCACAACAAGAGGTATTCTAATGGGACACATTGTATCCAATCATGAACGTTTTCAGGTACAAAGATCTGCATCTCCAATTTGCATATATACCTGAAAAAAATAAAATTGCCAAAGCTTCTTTCCTCTTTTCCATCTATATGTTACTGACCAAGAAAATTATTTTGCAGGTTACTGATACCCCAGGACTTCTTACAAGAGATGATGGTGAGTTAGTTTTCCTGGCCTTGTAGTTATTTACTGGAGTTGGACCAACTCTGTATAGCGTTTGTAGCATTGTTCTTACAATCTTAGTGAAAGAGATTCCTTACTTCCTTCTCACCCTGTGCTTGTTTGAAGAAAGATACACTTCTCACAACAAATTGATGTCTAGATTAAGATACTTTTTTTTTTCAATACTTGATCAGTGTATAAGCCTTTGTAGACTCAACTTACTGCTTTTAAAATATAACCTATGATTTTATACTCAGTAGGGTGGGGTCTTGTACATTTTTCACTGTATTCTTAACAAGTTTTTGCTGTGCTACTAATGAGTGATGCTATATGATTCCATACATTTTATTTAGCATTTGTTGTAATCTATTTTTTATCTGTGGCAAACAGATGAAAGGAATAACATTGAGAAATTGACCCTTGCTGTCCTTTCTCATCTACCAATTGCTGTCCTGTATGTTCATGATTTATCTGAGGACTGCGGGACCTCAGTGGCCGATCAGGTAAACTGTTTATTTACTTCATAGATTTTGTTGTCTTCTGCTCATTCTAGCCCCTTGACAAGATCAAAGAGACTGGACAGGGCAAATGACAAGTTTTGTGTTCTGACTTGAAAACATATTTTCCCTCTCTTTTTGCAGTACATCACATACAAGCATATAAAGGAAAGATTCGGTGATCGCTTGTGGCTTGATGTTATATCCAAATCTGATCTTTTGGACAAGAAAACATCCTCAGAATTTGATGATGCTGATGATGAAGTAGGGAGATACAGAAGATTCGGGCCAGAATGTGCCATCCGAGTATCTGTGCAGGGCCAAGTTGGAGTAAAAGAGGTAAGCAATCAGCCAATCCTCATGACATTGTCACTCAACTCAGAACCATCAATTCAATAGTACAACCAAGAACTTGATCTAGACTAACGTATGAATTTCTCACCCCTCAGCTAAAAGAGAAGGTGCATCAGCTACTAACCTCTCAGATGTCTCGGATCAAAGCTGGCACAATCTATCAGGAAACCCAGAGAACGGATGATAATGCTCCCGGGCAAACTTAGATTATGGAAAGGTTATGTACACATTTATGTAAACCTTTTAACTCGTGCTGACAGTCGGTGCATCTAATGTAGTAGTACCTGGAATTTTGTACGGAAGGAGAAAATTTTGGGCCTGTTCACTTTGATGAAAAAAAAAAAAAACCTTACTAAATTTTGGCATTGCCAAATTTTGGTATAGTTGCCAAAATTTTGGCGAACTTGTCAAAATTTTGACATGATTTCTTATATAGTTACCAAAATTTGGTAGCAAACTAAATGTAGCTACTTTTTTAACAACTTTACCAAAATTTGATAAGGTTGAAAATGGCAGCAAAGTGAACAGACCCTTTCACATGCAGCTTTTACATGCAACAAGGCCCTACTAGGGCTGGTTGTGTCTTCGATTAACTTCAGATGAGGAGCAGAAGAAGTGGACTCGCATCAGGCCATCAGCGATGGCGGATTGTTTGAGAAACCCCAACTGCTATATGGAGAAGGAAAAGGTACGAATTACCCCCCTAAATTCGAAAAACAGGCATTCTACATCCTCAATTATTGAAACCGAATAAATAACCCCCCTACTCAATCCGGAGTAGTTTTGGATTCACTGGCAGTTGAGTCAGCATTTTTTTTAAAAAAAATTAGTGGGCCCCACTGTCAGTTCTCCACCACTCTCTCTCTCTCTACTCTATCCCAATCTCCCCCCCCCTCCCCCTCTCTCTCTCTCTCTGCTCACCAGCATGGCGGCGGCCCCGCGAGGGCGGGAGCAAGCAGCGCTGCCGGCGGCGGAGGGCAGCGGGCGGCTGAGACGGAAGCGGAGCGGGCGGCCGGCAGCTTCGCCGCCACCTCCCGCACCATCGCAGCCACCTCGCCCAGCGGCTTCTTCAGGACGGCGTCCGCGGGCTCCTCCCGCTCCACGTAGGTGGTCGCGTTGCCGACGTAGCTGCGCAGCGCGCGGCAGAAATCCGGCGACCTCACGCGCCACCGCAGGTCCACCCAATACCCCATGCTGCAGCGCCTCGCCGCGGTGTCGGATTTGGCTATGCTCGCCGACGAACTGACGACGGCGGCTAGCTTCTTCCACAGGTACGCCGACACCGCCTGCACGCTCGTCGCGCGCGCCTCCTCGCGCAGCCTGGCGATGTCGGCGGCCTCGACATAGTAGAGCCGCTCGACGAAGCTCGCCTCCCCAGTGAGCGGGTTCACCTCGTGCTCGTGGTCCCACGGCACGAACATCCCGTCGACGGCGGCGCTGTACCTCGGCGGGGAGTGGGGACGGCTCAGCACCGACCGGTCAAGGTTCAGGCCTCCGGCGAATGTCCCCGTGCGCGCGAACTCCGACCACGACCGGAGGAGCACCACCACGATGTGGCCGTTGCCGAGGAGGTGGTTGCTAGCCCACACCACGGCTGATGCGGCAGGTGATGCGGAGGCGGCGGCGGCGGGGGATGAGGAGGACGACGACGAGGATGGCAACGGAGGAGTGGAGACGACTCGGGCGCTGGCTGCGGCGGCCATGGCGGAGAGGCGAGAGCTTGCTCTTCTCGGCCGTGGCGGTGGCGTCGCCGGAGTTCACTGACGGTGGCGCCATTGATGGTGAGAGCTTGCTCTTCTCTCCTGTGACGACGAGGACGACAACTCGGGCTGTGCCCGCTCTCCCGACGCGCCGCGAGCTCTGTCATCGGCCCCGCTGTGCCCGCTCTCCCGACGGTGCCACACAGAGAGAGAGGGGGGGAGGGGGGAAGCCGCGCCGAGCGGCCGCCGCCACCTCCTCATCCCCCGCCCCCGCCGCCGCCACCTCCTCGGCGCCGCCCGCCGCTGCCGCATCTTCCCCGCGCTCCACCTCTCTGCCATGGCCGCCGCAGCCAGAGCCCGAGCGTCGTCTCCACTCCTCCGTTGCCATCCTCGTCGTCCTCCTCCTCATCCCCCCTCCTCGGCGCCGCCCGCCGCCGTCGCGTCCTCCCCGCGCTCCGCGGCCGCCCGCACGCCGCCGCCGCTGACCCGTTTGAGAGAGAGAGGAAGAGTGAGAGAGAGAAAAGAGAGAGGATGAGGAGTATGACATGTTGGTCCAATATTTTTTTAATGACTAGAGTGCTGACTGGACTGCCACGCGTATGTCACGTAGACTAAAGCCACCGCGGATTGGGTCAGGGGGTAATTTGTCCGGTTTGCATAGTTGGGGATAAAGAATATCCGGTTTTATGGTTTATGGGGTAATTCAGACGACCGCGATAGTTCGGTGGGGTAATTCGTACTTTTTCCTACGGAGAATCCGCCATCGCAGACGTGAGTCAACTTCTTTGCAACAATCCGAGCAAGAGAGAGAAAAGTACAAGAAAATTACTCCCTCCATTACAAATTGATCTACATATAGGTTTTTTTGGGTTATTTCTAAATGATCTACATATTTGTGTTCATTCATTAAGTCTATTCGTTATTTGTGCATTGGACTAAATGTATATTGATGCATGCATTCATGCACACAAGTATTTATAACTCAAATACAATATCTTGATTTGCTATTGAGTAGAAAATAGTGGGGATGGTGCAGCATCAATGTACAAGATGCATATAAGTGTTTTCCATTCTCTTATATTATCTCCATTCTAAAATAAAAATATTTTTAAGATATTCTAAAATATAAGTGTTTTTAAGATGGATACAAATACTAAAGAATAATGTGAAAATGATTGAAGAAAGGTTTTGTGTTTGGTTGAGAAGAGAAAATACGTGAAAAAGTAAATAAATAATGGTTGTAATTGATTTGGAGGATAGACTAGGTAAAAAAATAGCTCAATTTTAATAAAGTAAGGTATTGTTCTAAAAACACTTCATTGTAAGATCGAGGTATGCATAAGAAACGACATAGAAAGAAATAAGACACATGTGGCTAAACACTGTATATATATATATATATTGTGGAAACCTAACAAATATCGTTGGATCAAAAATATATGTTTAAAATTCGTCTACATTATCATGAGTAAAAATTTTTTACTCACAAATTCACTCGTGAGTAAAATTTTTACTCATACTTACATGGACGAATCTCGGACGTCCATTTTCAATCCAACTATAGTTTTCTGGTCTCCATTGCATATCTACTTTGTATAAACATAGGTAAGCGACAGCACATCTGCGAGTAAATACTCTGTCATTGCGCCTCTCGCTGTCCCGTGGGCCATCCGCGGTGCGCTAATTTGGCCTTTGGTTTGTGTAAACCTTTCCGCTTCATTCACTAACCAACACCACAAATTTCGCCTGTGATTAACCCAAATAGTTCCGTGATTACTAGAAAAAAAATCTAATGCCATTAAGCAATTTCACTGCTGTGGCTAGCATCTGGTACTTACTTGTATTATTCTGGAGAATATAAGTGAATATTCCAGAAACAATTGGATTGTCCAGGGGGGATTAATTGGGACGGATTTTGGGTGATGAGTGCTAGCTATGAGCAATTCTCAATTACAAGTCAGATGAGTTCACTACCGGCCGCCGCCTTGATCGATCTCAATTTGTTTCAATTCCAATGCTACAATATAACAATCCCGATAGATCTGATAGGCCACCCAAAAATCTATTTAGTGTACGATAGATAGATTGAGGCCATAAACGTTTTATAATAATTGACTGGACAAGCATGTGCTGTTATTTGAAGCAGAGTGGCTCAGATGCAAGTCGGACGGAGATGGTTGCTTCATGCTTATGTTTTTCTCCTTTTCAACGCGAGATGGATGGAGACCCTCTCTTTTTCTTTTTTGCCCATGGTAGGAAATTAACAAGAAATTGATTTGTGGAAGCCGAATGGGAAAAAGCTATGGAAGTCTGTAAATAATAGTACGCGTGTGTTGGATGCGCATGTGTGTATGTAATTGTGAACCCAAAACGAAAATTACCGGAAATCCTTGCGTTCATCTAACCCATTCAATAGCCTTCCCAGATATCCAATATCATTTGATTGGATGTCTCACATGATATAAATACATGGATTATAACTGTAAATTCATTTTTACCTAACTAAACACGCCCCTGTGTAACGTGTATGCGTGGGTAGTGTGATCGTGTGCATCTTAGCTTGTACCCTCTAAACAAAAGTAAAATACTGTTTTGGTCATCGTTCTGTACTTCTGTTCTAGCTTGTCACTTTCAGCCAGTATTTACTACTAATATTTGTCATTCATTAAACAAGTGAGGCTAATGCATGTTGACGCAGGCTTGGCCCACATAACCAAGTTTAGGCCCTCTTTGTTATTTTTTCCCTTTTTATGCTATTATATTACTAGTTTACTAGTAGCATATCATGATGTCCTTATCTTTCTGTTGGGAAAAAGCACGGGACAACGCAGGATTGTTACATACTCATAGCAAACAGTAAACAAAATATTTATTTTAGATAATTCAAGCAACTTTTCAGTGCGAATATATAGCTGAACAAAACAAGATAAAGTTAAGACAAGCACACATCACACATCCCCATAATTATATACTCCATATCTATATTTATATATAGTACTACTAGTAATAACTATAGAGTAAATTCCGATTCCGGCGACTCTGCGTGCGAGCGAGCGACCGGCCGGCGTCAGGGGCGGCGGCGGCGCGGATGACGAGCGCGATACCGGCATGGAAGGCGAGGCACAGAAGCAGGCCCAGGCACGCCTGCTCCCGAGACAACTCCGCCGCGACGGCGACGGCGGCGGAGGCAATGCACAATCCGACCATTCCTGCGCGCAGAAAGAGCGAGAGTGATGACGCCGTGTTTAGTTGTAAAATTTTTCTTCAAACTTTCAACTTTTATATCACATCAAAACTTTCCTATACATATAAACTTCTAACTTTTTCATCACATCATTCCAATTTTAACCAAACTTTTAATTTTAGTGTAAACTAAACACACCTGAGAGATCGATCGATCGATCAGCTTTTTTCCAATTTGCAGGACTAAAAAACTGAGAAAGATATACGTATATATGCGGACGTGACTCCCCGTCGGGCTCCCGATGGGAGCCGATTAAAATTGGGCGCTGACGTCAACGCCCGATTTACGGTAAAAAACTACTTTAAACTGATTTTTCTCTTAAATTACTTATCTAAATCATGATCCGATTGCACTATTAAATTCATTGCAATTAAATCTTCAAAACAAGACCACACATGGATATATTCCGACGAAAATTTTTTTAGCTTATTATTAAATTATTTTTAAATGTTGCACGATGTTCCACCAGGTATATCGGAATTGTTTCACTACATAGATCGAAAATGTTTCACTCGTTTAAATCGGGTGTTGTACCTTATATAAAAACAATGTTTCAGCAAATAGCGAAAAATTGTTTCAGTTCCCTACAACATTTGGTCCATACATAATAAAACATTATAAATACACTAGGTAAAACATTTTTCGGTGGAACAAAAATAAAACGAATTCCCTTAATAGGGGTTTCCAAAATATGTGGGTTTTTTTTTACAATGGAATATTTCAGTTCGTTGCAACATTAGGTTTATACATAGTGAAACATTGTGAGTATACTAGGTGCAACATTTTTTGTGGAACAAAAAATAAACCAAATTCTCTTAATATAGGGTTTCCAAAATATATGGTTGATTTGTTGCAGGTGGGGACATATATTGTGGTGGGGCCAATAATATCACTGTGCGTGGGGACGGGGCCGCGGGGGGAGCGCCCGATTTTTTTTGCTCCCCCCGTCAGTCGACCGACCAATAGCATTATCGTATATATGCAAATTTTTTGTCCACCAAAATCGATCATGTACAGAATGGAAACCACTAATATCACATCACAGGCAGAGTTTGAAATTTCGGTTCAAAATTTGGAAATTTCGCCCCCACCGAAATGGTCATATCTCGTCCGAAACTTTCGGTTTTTTGCAAATTTTTGTGAATTTGATCAAATTTTATTCAAATCCATTCAAATTCAGTCAAAATTTCAAAAAATTTCATACGAAAAAAATCCGAAATTTCCAAAATCACCGAAAGAAACCTTAGTTTCGAAATTGGAAACCCTGATCACAGGTGATGATTACAACTTTTTAGCAAGGTAACATGGCGCATGAACGCTTGCTTATCACAATTTGTATTGTATTACTATCTATATGTAAGAAAAGCAAGACGAACAAAGAGCTGAATTTAGGCTCTGTTCGTTCCGGGGAGATAGGGGAGATTGAGTCGCGTTTTCTGCCATACGCTTTTCAAACTACTAAACGGTACGATTTTTGCAAAAAATTTCTATATGAAAGTTGCTTTCAAAAATCATATTAATCTATTTTTAAAATTTAAAATAGTTAATACTTAATTAATCATGAGATAATGGCTCACCTCGTTTTACTGAGGAACCACAAGTCGAGAGAAGTTCATCATGAACTTTAAAATAGTTAATACTTAATTTTTAAAGCAGCATGCACGACTTACCGTTGATCCAGTTCATCATGGGCGGCTGAAAGTGGGAGTCCGACGCCTGCTCGGCCTCGAGGCTCTGGGGGACGGCGTGACACGCGCCGGCGAGCTGCAGGACGAGGAGGAGCGCCAATGGCGCGAGAGCCCAGAGCTGAGTGGCCGCCATATACGGGGAGAGAGAGCAGAGGAGGAGAGACGGGAAACAGGTGCGGATGGGGGATGGCGACAAGAGCCTTGGTTGGTTCTTGAAGTTGAAGATTGGGAGAGATGAACAACATGGCTTTGATTCTTTGGGGAGTTTATACTGGGGGCCTGGGGGGCGCATCTAGCCTTTTTGGATTTGGGAAAAAAAAATAATCAGGGCTAACAGTTGTTGCGATTTTAGGTTTGGATTTTCTTTTCGGGTCCCACAACCAGATAGAGTATTCAATTTGGTGCGAGAAAATAATTTTAAATTGAAAATATTTTGTGGTGTGGTACGGTAAAACACACACAAAGTAGGGAAACTGACATAAAGCTGCAGCCAGCTGTTGACCTGACTGTGCACGTTGTGTACTCCCTGCGTCACATTCTTGGGCCAAAAGCGGCGCTTGGCGCGTTTTATATAGTGGGTCGTCTTCATCCAGTCTAACCCCGTCTCCTCTCTCTCTCTCTCTCTCCACACACGAATCCAATTTTTATTAACAAAGTTTTAGATAGCTTCTTCTTCTAAATTATTAAACTAATGTGTCACGCGGTGCTGCCCCAATTTTGTCCGGGGTTCTCCCGTGTTCCAGACGTGTAGTACTCGTGTTTGGAATGTTTGGGCCCGCTATCTGTAATCACGTTTCCCATTACAACAAGAACATTCACGAACAGCACGCACGCACGCACGATCTAATTATGTGGTAAACGGAAAAGGAAGAGAGAACGGAAACTGGGATCTCAAATTCATGAAACGATCGATGCTAGTATGGCTCACTGAGCTTGATGACTTCTCATTTATGCTGCTTCCGCTTCACCATCAACAACGCCATTTAGAATTATTACCACAAGGGGGAAAAAAAGAACAGAAGTAGAACCAAACCCATGAAGCACTTCTAATCTCTCCTATTACTGCCAACTAATGGGAGTACTCAGCACAACAGCACAAAGCAGATTGATGATTATCACAGTCACAGTCTACCCTACCCTACAGACTGGAAGATCCCACGGCATCTGCAAGGACAACGGATCGGACCATCCATCCATACATTCAAATTCAGTCTACTAACAAGTAAACATATTAAAGCTAAACCAGAAAAAAGAACTCTTCGGAATCAAAGCGGCCATGAGCCATTGCCGTCATGGTGAACTTGTTTCATGAACGACTGATAATCCATGCATTTACAGAAACAGACTTGCTGCTGAAACAGATTAAGAACGAAAATCAGAGCTATCCCAAACCATCCTTAGCAGGGACAAAAATCTTTCTGGTCGCTAAACTTACTCCCAATCGGCTACCAGAAGCCAATGTCTTGTTAATTTCCTACCATCCTCAAAACGTTTCCCAGATCAACAGTGTCGAAACTCAGAAACCTCTACCGCTACTAAGCTAGTGTGCTTTCAATTACAGTTCCATGCTCGTAGAAAAACAGTGGGCCAAAAAAAGGGTCTCCTCTCCTTCAGGTACTCGAACAGGGGGACTCACTCAGTGCTTGTCCTTGTTGCGGCGCTGCAGGGAGAAAGTCTTGTCATGGTCATCTGGCATGTCGGGGGACGGCATCCCGCTGCTCAGAGAAGGTAGGTCAGTAGAGTCCAACTCTTCTTCCTCCGGTTCCGTCTCCTCTAGAGCATCTGTGAGGTACTTCCCACTCTTCAAGCTGTTGGTCTGGCAGATGTGCTTGTATATCTGGAGAGACTGGGCGATGAGGGATGATGGGTTGCCAGCGTCACTTGGAAGGAGAATCGTGTTGCTCTGTGTTTCAAAGAGATCGGCGATGCATCAGTACTTTGCAAATCACATTAGGAACTGTAGATAGAATACTTTGCAAATCACATTACTAACTGTGGAATATGGAAACATAGCTTCAGGAATCTCACCTTTTTGGCCAGATTAGCAAATGCCTTCATGTATTGTTCAGCAACTCTCAGGTTCGCAGCCTAAAACAAGTGAGAGAATGAATATGAGCACAGGTTTGATACAGAACTTAGCACAAAAGTAGACGCTATTAAACCGTCTCAACAGATCATGATACCTCAGTGCTGCCCTTGGTCCTCATGGCCTCAGAGACCAATCTGATTCCTCGAGCAGTTGCTTCAGACTTTGCAAGAATTGCTTCAGCCTCACCTGGTATCATTACATAAGATTGTATTAGCATCAATGCGTAGATAATCCATTAATTCTCATCAGGATAAAAAAACACAAACAAAATGTTTCAGGGTAATCAAACCAAAATATGGTATATTGCAATGATCCAATCTCCATAAGTGGCCAAGATGATAGTAAAATAATGGAACAACCAAAAGACACAGGCTGAACATAAGCATTTCAAAAAACGAGAAGGATGATAGTATAATAAATGGAACAAACAGATGAATGGATGCTGAACAAAAATACACATGGCCCCTTGTATAATGAGATAACATGGAAAATGGGAAAGCTAAAAGGCAATAAAGATGATGGCAGAAAAAATGGACATACAGAACGACACTCAAAAAAACTATACATACCAGGTTATGACAGATAATATGGACAGTGTGATGCTCAAAAGCTAGGAAACATGATGGCATGATAAATGAAACAAACAGAAGGAAGCATGCTGAACATATTTATAGGCCATCTTATCATGGAGAACATGGAAAACAGAAAGATTTAGAATGAACATATAAAACATACCCTTTGCGCGATTTGCCTGATCCAACATAGCACCTGGAAGATCAAATGAAATATGTCAATCAGAATTTCATTTTCTACATACTACAATCCAATAATGCCCTTTCAAGCAGGCTAAGACAAATCATGTTAAAGACTTAAAAGAGACCGTGCATTCATCACCTTCTGATTCAAGGATTTGGGCACGCTTTTTCCTTTCTGCTTCTGCTTGCATCTCCATAGCCACCTTAACACCACGTGGCGGAGATATATCCCCTGCATAGTCAATTATTAAACATCAGAAATGTTACAGGAAACAGTTATAGCTCAACAATTCAGAAGCAAAAAGGCATACTGATCTCATAACGGAGGCATTTCAGTCCCCAATCAGTTGCAGCCTCATTAATGGACCTCTGCCAGATAAATACAGAAAAAATACATCAAAAGCAATGCATAACACTGACAAGAATGATGAAAAGCATGATATAGAGTACAGACAATACAAAATTATCATGCTACAACAGTCACTGTTATAAATTACTGATAAAAAATCTGTACGGCGGACAGCGGTGTTGCTTAATGGGAGCCATAAATTGGAAAGCCTAACAAAACAATAATGGAGAGAGACGACCATAGGAACTGCAGTTTTTTTGCTTACATTCGGCAATGATGATCCACAAAACAATGCAATTATAAAGTAAAATGAATCGTTATAAGAGATGGAAGTTTAACATATGGACAGAGCTCGTTGCATATTTAAGTACTAAACCCAGATTCTAGTAGAACAAACAATGTATAGTGCGAACAAGATTCCATACCACAATTTGCTCATTTAGTGTATCCCTCTCCTCAAAAGTCTTGTCTAGCGTAATCTTTCCAAGCTCACTTCTCATAGTTGTTTGGGCAAGCTGTATGACTGCAAAAATTGGATTCTCCACACCATAGGAAGCAAGGTAGGGATCAACAATCTGCAAAGTTCACAATCACCAAAGAGAAGTAATAGTTAGCACTTGCAAGCAACAGCATATACCTTCTAGAAAGCTGACTCTATATTTATGGAAATCCCTTGATTGGGTGCATTATCACAAAGCAGTCACTTGATATATATATCTTAGATACAATGCTAAATGTTTTGACATTTACCATTTGGAGCATTTGCATAAATAAGTTAGTTATCCAATGTGAGATTTACATGCCCAACAATGCTAGTCATATTCATTAAGGGCAGGATGATCAACATGGATATAAATAACCTAGCTACAGACAACTTTATGATCAACCAAGCTACAGAGTTGTTATGGATGCGAAAAAAAAAAACTTGTTAGCTTGTATAGCCAAACAAAATCAGATATAAACCAAACCACCAACCTAGCAGTATTAGAACAGCGTCTTAATACAACAACAGCAACCAGGAGCGTCCCACACATATTACATGGCAAGGAAATAAGCATACATGTCCATGCTCACAAAACTCCTATCAATTTAATTTTTCCCACCTATATATCCCTAAACCATCAGAATAGCATCTGCCGTGGAACCGCACCCATCTAAACTCAGATTGTCCACACATTTTGCCAATCCCGAATAAGCACAAGCATAGCATCTTCTAGAACAAGGAAGGGAGCCTCCGCATCACAAGAAAAAAAAATCCTGCAGTGCATCACAATCCTCCACTCTCACCTAGAACACAAAACCTGACCATCCAAATTCAGAAATCCTTAGCATAGCTCAACCCACACCACACTAGCCAAATTGTTGCAAGCTTGATCCCCCATACAAAATCCTCACCACAACGAATTGCATCTAACAATGCAGCAAGCGAACAATCTCCTACAACAGAGAAGAGACTCTGCACCAAAAAACCCTTACAATGCAGCATAACCATCAGCCCTCACCTAGAGCACCCAACCCGACCATCTAAAATTCAGAAATCCTGAAACCCAAACACCACAGTAGCCAAAATTGCAAGCTCGATCGCGCACAACACAACTCGTTGCATCCACCACTAGCAGCAGCAATCGGAAATGCAGCAGAGCAGAAACAGTGTTAAGGCGAGGAGGTCGAGAGATATATAACCTTGACGTAGAGGACGCCGTCGATCTGGATGGAGACGTTGTCCTTGGTGATGGCGGACTGGTCGGGGATGGGGATGGCCTCCTCCTTGAGCGAGTGGACGTAGGCGATGCGGTCGACGAGGGGGACGAGCACGTGGATCCCGGAGCCGAGCGTCTTGACGTACTTGCCGAACCGCTCCACCACGAACGCCTTCTTCTCCGGCACGATGCTCACCCCCCAGTTCACCGGCGTGCTCAGCGCCTCGTACCTGCAACCACCACCACCACACATCAACCACCCTTCCAAAACCAAAACCAAAACCAAAACGAGGAGGAGGAGTTGGGGCGCTGACCTCGAGACGTCGTCGCGGGAGTAGTAGCGGGAGAAGGAGCGGGTGGAGGAGGCGGCGTGGGGGAGCGGGAGCGGGCGCGGGCGGAGGAGGAGCTGGCGCGCGGGGCCGACGGATCGCCGGAGGAGCGTCGCCATCTCCCTCGTCGGCGGCGGCGGCGATGGGGAGGAGGAGTGGGTTTTGGGGGAGGAGGAGGAAATGAAAAGGAAATGGGTCTCGGTGGTGGGTATAAGACGAGGCGGAGGAGGAGGAGGGCTGGGTTGTCGTGTGGACTTCCTCGTGTCCGCGTAGCAGTTGGCCGGACCAACTTGTATTGCAAGAATGGATTTGAAAAAATAGAGACTGATCAAATGGGAAATTTGGGTTTCGAAATGCTAGCTGCACCCCACGGCTTCTTACCCAAATCGAGCTCCATGCTGCGCCGTGCGCGTGATCGGAAGTGATACGTGGGCCGGACCTGTTGGTCTGGGCCTTGCAGAGAAGTCATATGTACTTCTGGCCCAGATTTAGGAATAGGTCTTTCCTCCCTCCCTCAACCTCGTCGCCGCCCGCCTCTCTCAGCCTTTCTGCCGCCCATCCGTAAGAGAGACGGAGAAAAAAAAGGAAGAGAAGTAGAGAGAGGATGGATAACATATGGGTAACTGATTTTTTTTTCCCTTCAAGGGGTTTATATATGAGTCTATGACATATGGGCTCACCTACTAACTCAGTGAGTCAATCGCAATTAACCTGCCACGTTAGCTGAAATCACTTCTCAACACCACCGAAAGAGTTCATTTGCGTCAGTTGGTAAAGGTGGGTGAAGTGCTATACTCGGTTTTGTAATTGAGGACGACGATTCAATCAGAGCGAGAGATAAGGGAAGCAAGACTTATTCACTTTACGTTATGCGTATTTGTTTTGGGGGTCCTTTGATAATAAATCCATAGTGCAATATGTAATGAACCGGAAGATAATTACAGCGTTTTATCAATTGATGGAGAAGATTTTTTTTTTTACCCGATTTCATATTCGGCAGAGTTTTACAAAATAATTCCAATTTTGGACTGCAATACTACTAGTATTTAGTTCCTGGAAGAGAATCAAATGCATTTGATTTGTGCGAAGAAGAAGAAAAAAAGGTGAGCATGTGTAGAGTTGCTAGTTCCTTCGTACGTAGCAATTAACTGGATCAACTTACGCTGCAAGAATTAGCTCCAGAAAGGAAGAGATCAAGCACAAGATTAGCTTTGGAAATGCTAGGTGCACTGTAACTTGATACCCCTGAGCTAACTGGAGAAATAGTATATGGGCCGCAAAGTTTGGGCCGTTTGGACTTTCGGCCCAGAAGACTTATGGGCCTCTGAGCAGCTTTTGTGCAGCCCAAACTCCTCACCAGTGCAGATGGCTGATGCCGCAATTATGTGGGTATTATATTATGTGTGCCGTCATGTGTAATAAATTTTAATTAGTACAACTTCTATACTGTTTATTAATTTGTTATGGAGTAGTATTTTTGAATCAACTAATTAAATTGATTCGCCCCAATTTTGAAGAATGAACAGATAAATGCGACGAGAGAGAAGATACCAAGTACAGCAACTGGAGCGCAATTGCAATGTCATGATCTCGTCGTCGGATTAAGACAAGCAGGTCGAGACGACGATCGATGACCAAATTAAAGATTAATTTGTTACGTCAGGATATATATGTCATATCACACAAGTTTTATAAACTACTAAGCCAAACGGCAAAAATAATTAAAAAGGATTATATGCTGAATAAAACAATATACTCCCTTCGTTTCAAAATATTTGACACCATTAACTTTTTAGTACGTGTTTAACCATTCGTCTTATTTAAAAAATTTAAGTAATTATTTATTTTTTTTCATATCATTTGATTCATTGTTAAATACACTTTCATGTACACATATAGTTTTATATATTTCACAATTTTTTTTAATAAGACGAACAGTCAAACATGTGCTAAAAAGTCAACGGTGTCAAATATTTTGAAACGGAGGGAGTATATGTACAGTTGGCATGCAGCCTTGGAGGGCCATCAGCTGAAAATTAAGTGTAAACAGAACACTTGAAAGTATATATTTTCGTATTATATACTCGATCAATCAATAGCTCCCTATGTGTGTGGACTCCACATAAATACATAATTATATATTATAGTATCTCCTCGTCGTCTATAAAATACTGATTAAAAAGAAAATTCAAAGACTATTATATTATTAATTAATGTGTAGAGAGAAAAATAAGGAGGAAAAAACGAGGAGAGAGGATTACTATTGGTTCGGTGCTTAAAACAATAAGAAAAATAATGACTTAGTATTAGGGAGTTAGAGTAGACCCCAATTTTAGAAGACACTTTTTATCCGTAAAAACTTTATACTAAAACAACGTTCTTTTAGGGGTTGAGGTAGTAGTTTTTTTTTTAAAAAAAAAAGATAAATCAGGCCTCTACCGTCTCTACATCCAATCGGATATTCACCATTAATTGTATTGCTATAAACTCCTCTCACGCGCATGCATCCTCCTTGTTTGTATTGCCCTCAACCAAAAAAAACTTTTGCTTACTACTTCATCCGTTTCACAATGTAAGTCATTGTGAATATGAATATGAAAAATACTAGAATGACTTATATTGTGAAACGGATGAAGTATTGAATATTGATCTTGTTGAGATGAATTAAATAGAGCAACGTAATAAGACAAACCGCTTATGATTAAGTTTAGTTCGATATATAGTTAAGCTCTTGGCTTGGCCGGCCGAAGTGTGTATCTAGCTCTTGGCGTCCGCTGGTCCTAAAAACCGCTTCAAAAACCCACCAATATATAATCAGACCGACCCCGGCCAATTATATACTTCTGGTTTCGCAACAATGTTTGCAACTCAAAAATCAGTTAATTGAACACCAAACTGTCTTAATCCTAAAGCTAAATGCATCAACCAAACATTTGTCATATAGGTTGTGTTTAGTTCCTTGGCCAAAATTTTTTTAAGGATACGGACACACATTTAAAATATTAAATGTAGTCTAATAACAAAACAAATTACAGATTCCACGTATAAACTGCGAGACGAATTTATTAAGCATAATTAATCTGTCATTAGCAAATGTTTACTGTAGCACCACATTGTCAAATCATGGCGTAATTAGGCTCAAAAGATTCGTCTCATAATTTATATGCAAACTGTGCAATTGGTTTTTTTTCCGTCCACGTTTAATGCTTCATGCATGTGTCAAATATTCGATGTGACTTTTTTAGTATAAAAAAATTTGAATCTAAACACGGCCATAATCCATCTCAATATCTTACATGTATGTAAGATACGTACGTACAATTATATAGCAACTAATTAATAACCACCCCTTGCCGGCCACTAATCGTAATCAAACGAGGACGGTCAATACAAAGTTACGGACTAATCCTATTTAATTACCCATCGTTTTCTCACTGTTTAATCAGCTAATCACCTCCACGTCGCGACAAAGACGTAGTAGCTCAATGCTCACGTACACATAAAACCCCACACACCTCATCACTCTCCTTCCACACTTTCTCTAGCTCATCAGCTTAGCTAGCCATTCCACCTCCATCGTCCATGGCGATGGCGATCGCGACGGCCGCCTTGCTCTCTCTCCTCGCCGTGCTACGCGCCGGCGGCGATGTCGACGATGGTGGCGGCGCGATCATGGAGCCCTGCCTCGCGGCGGCCGGCGTGCGGAACGTGACGGCGCGCCGGGAGCGCGACGCGTACGACGCGGCGCTGCGGGCGTCGGCGCAGAACCTCCGGTTCGCGGGCGACGGCGTGGCGAAGCCGGCGGCGGTGGTCGTGCCGGCGACGAGGGGCGAGCTGCGCGACGCCGTGCGGTGCGCGCGGGAGGCCGGGCTCGGCGCCGTGCGGCTCCGGAGCGGCGGGCACAGCTACGAGGGGGTGTCGTACACCGGGGAGGACGACGGCGGGTTCGTCGTCGTCGACCTCCTGGCGCTCGACGGCGTCCGCGTCGACGCCGCGTCGCGCACGGCGTGGGTGGAGTCCGGCGCGACGCTGGGCCAGGTGTACCAAGCCGTCGCGGCGGCGAGCCCGGCCCTGGCGTTCTCGGCGGGGTCGTGCCCCACCGTCGGCTCCGGCGGCCACATCGCCGGGGGAGGGTTCGGCTTCCTCTCGCGCAAGTACGGCCTCGCCGGCGACAATGTCATCGACGCCGTGCTGATCGCCGCCGACGGCCGGGTGCTCGACCGCGCCGGCATGGGCGAGGACGTGTTCTGGGCGATCCGTGGCGGCGGCGGCGGCACGTGGGGCGCCGTCTACGCGTGGCGCATCCAGCTCGTCCCGGTGCCGGAGCGCGTCACGGCGTTCGTCGTCAACCGGCCCGGCACCGCCGAGTCCGTCGCCGAGCTCGTCGCGGCGTGGCAGCACGTCGCGCCATGGCTGCCCGACGAGTTCTACCTCTCGGCGTTCGTCGGAGCCGGCTTGCCGGAGATGAACCGGACCGGCATCTCGGTCACGTTCAAAGGCTTGTACCTTGGGCCGGCACACGAAGCGGTCGAGATACTGACGGCTAGGTTGCCCGAAATCGGGTTATCGGATCTGAACCCGATAGAGATGAGTTGGATCGAATCCGTCGTCTTCTTCTCGGGCCTACCTCAAGGGAGCTCTGTGTCCGATCTGACGGACAGGGTGCTCCACAAGAAGAAGTACTTCAAGGCCAAGTCGGATTATGTGCGCCGTCCGATGCGCATCGGTGAACTGATCAGAGCCATTGATCTCTTATCAACGGAGCCAAAAGCATATGTTATCCTGGACCCGTATGGCGGGGCGATGGATCGGATCGGGTCTGCAAGTCTACCATTCCCACATAGAAGAGGTAATATTCATGGTATCCAATACTTGATCGAATGGACGGCGAATGATGATGATCATAGAGAGGAGTATATGGACTGGATACGCCGATTTTATGAGTTTATGGGATCATATGTACCAAATAGCCCACGTACCGCGTACATAAACTACATGGATCTTGATCTAGGCATGAACAATTGGTCTAATCTTCGAATGTATGGAGGTGATGGAATCCCTAATCCAGAAGTCGAGGCGGCACGGGTATGGGGCGAGAGGTACTTCTTGGGAAACTATGATCGACTGGTACGTGCCAAGACTGCTATCGATCCAGACAACGTGTTTCGCAACGCGCAGAGTATCCCTCCACTTGGGAGTCGGAGGATGAGTAGGATTCCACGTGGCATCTCACCCAAGATTGCATCCAAGGACAAAACTTATGATAGCTAGGTTTGAACATACAAACAAAATTGCTAATGTGGGTGTGTTTTGATTTGATTTTGGGCGTGTTGCTTTCATGTGGTGCTGCCCATAAGGATGAGTCGTGTTCCTTTTGGGGAGAATTGTGATTTGGATTGGTAGATACGGCAGAAAATGAGAGGTTGGATTGTTAGGTTTTGCCTCCATTTGTGAAATGATCAATGTCATATCAAATATGTAAAAAAATTGGAACAATGATAAGCTTGTGGATTAGCTAGAAGGACGTACTGGACCGTATATTCTGTCGTATATTCTCCTTCATTCGCTTTGATGCCATGCAAATTGCAGAACTGAAGGAAAATGCTGTGAAACTATATGCCAATTCGCAACAATTCAACAAGTTTTATCATGTCTTCAAAAAAACAATTTCTTTTCATGATGTTCAGGCTCAATCTGGTTCTTGTCATTTGTGAATTGTGATCGTTCTGCCTTTTCTGAATAAACACAAGGCAGGGTTGATGATACTCCCCACATAATGGGCCGGCCCTTTTTTACGAACGAAAGCACTTTTGGCCCATCGAGTCCATCAGAAATGTTGCTTACACAGATCCAGCCCCACTCGAACGGCCCGGCCCGCATACAAGCCGTAAAACAATTCTGGCCCACCCAATTATTTTAAACTTGAAAAATAGATTAATATAATTTTTAAAACAACTTTCCTGTATTTTTTTTAAAAAAAACACATCATTTAACGATTTGGGAAACGTGAGCTTGGAAAATGATAACTTTATATCCTTTGTCGTTGAAAAGAACGCATCCAACGTTTACATTTTTTGAGGGTTCGGGTAGGTATAAAAGGTCATTGCAAAAACTTTCATCATACGATTTTTCATATTTTCGTAAGTCTAATTTGTACTGTAACTCTGAATCCGTTAAATTTGCATTCATGAATTGTAAGTTTTGGCCTGAAATTAGTGCGGTCTCAGTCTCTCAGCATACATATTGTAGCTTTTTTATTTCTATCCCCAGCAGCTATAAATGGTCAATCCAATTGATATATATTTTTTTTAGCAAAATTGAGTTTCCCAGAAAAAAAATTCCCCAGACATTAACTAGGGTGTACGTCAACGCCATCATGTCTGGTTGAAACCGCGCCCTGGTGTTAGTCGATGACTCGACGTCGTCAAATAAGAGCTTTAATTTTTAGAAAAAGGTCAAATGTGCAGTTCAGTTTTGGTGAATTATTTAGAGTTGTGTATAAAACACTTTATTAAAATTCAAGGTTAAGGAAAAAAAATATGTAACACATATCATATTTGCATCTAAAACATTCTAACCGAAAGTTAACAAGGTAAGCAGTGGACTTAGTCAATAGTCTTCCCCTGTACTAGGAGCAAAAATTCAACTGGCAATTTTGACAAAATGCATTAAACTCTTGAAATTTGCATACTCCCGGAAGCCGTCTCATGACTGTACAGCATCAACATTAATTATGTTTTTGATGGCTTAACAGACCGATCCATCCCAACACACCTCTCCATCTATATAAATACCTTAACATATGTCTAGCTTTCACATATCTATCACTTTCTCCTTAGCTCCTCTTGCCATCATGCATGCCATAGCTGCAACCCTTGTGCTCTGCTTCTGTCTACTGCATCCCACAACCTCTAATGCTCAGCCACCATCAAACATCTCTTCCTGTCTACTCTAAAATGGAGTCAGGAACTTCTCCCTTCCCCTGTCTCCCAGCTACACCACACTCCTTGACTCCATCCAAAACCTCCGCTTTGTGCTCCCTGATGTTAGCAAGCCAGTTGCGCTTGTCATCCCGACCTCCAAGTTAGATCTCCAGTGAGCGATTCTACGTCACGGAGTAGTTCATTGGCAATCCGTGTGCGTAGCAGTGGACACAGCTATGAGGGTTTGTCATACACTGTGGAAAATCATGTCCCTTTTGTTGTGATAGACCTTATGAACCTCAACCGAGTCCATGTTGACTCGGTCTCAGGCACTGCTTGGGTCAAGTCGGGTGCTACCCTAGGTGAGTTATACTATGCAATAGGGCAGTTGAATAGGTCCTTGGCATTTTCGGCTGGATCGTGTTCAACGGTCGGCATGGGAGGGTTTGTATCGGGTGGAGGTTTCGGTCTAATATCACGCAAGTTTGCGCTTGCCGCTGATAACGTATTGGATGCTATTTTGATGGACCCAAATGGGAATGCCTTGAACCGTGGATCGATGGGTGATGATGTGTTTTGGGCCATTCGAGGCGGTGGTGGAGGGAGCTGGGGTGTAGTGTATGCGTGGAAGCTCCAACTCGTCCATGTTCCACACAGCATCACTGTGTTCAGCTTGAATAGAACCGGGCCGCTAGAACAAACTGCCAAGTTGATGCATAAGTGGCAGTTTGTTGGGCCACATCTGCCCGATGAATTTTACCTCTCGATTCACATCTTAACGGGGACATCAAATGGTAATGTCTCCATGTCCTTCACCGGCCAAGTCATTGGACCGAAACAATATGCCATGTTAGTGCTACATCACACTTTTCCAGAGTTAGGCATTGTCGAGTCAGACCTATCTGAGATGAGTTGGATCGAATCGACGGCCAAGTTTGCTAGGCTCAACTCAACCGCTGATCTTACTAATAGACGGCTTGGGATAAAATACTACTCTAAGAGCAAGTCAGACTACGTCCATTCACCAATCTCGATGCAAGACACAATCAAGATCATCGAATATCTATCGAACGGTCCACAAGGGTTCATCCAGCTTAACCCTTATGGCGGCGCAATGGCTCGAATAGGGAGCTCTGAGTTACCATTTCCATACCGGGCTGGATACTTGTATAGCATCGAATACAATGTGTCCTGGAAGGCGTCGGATAATGATCGAGCAGATGAGTTCATTCGATGGTTGAGATCATTCTATGCGTATATGGCTCCCCACGTGTCTAAAAACCCTCTAGCTGCGTATGTGAACTACTTGGACCTTGATCTGGGCACGAACACCTGGAGGAATGCTACAGATGGAACTTCTAATAACTCGGTGATTCATGCAAAATCATGGGGTATAAGGTACTTCTCGAAGAATTTTGATCGGTTGGTTCGTGCAAAGACAATGATTGATCCTGAAAATGTGTTCAACAATGCACAGAGCATTCCTCCTCTACAGTATTAGAGGGAACAGGCAATGTATTATGAATTACTGATAGGTGAATTTCTGATCAATTAATAACATGAATATGCAATGTCAGTGCATGTTACTCTGAAACTCTCTGGATGTTATCCGGGTCTAAATATACAAGATACTTACATATAATCCATTGAAATATCATACTTATAGTACAGCGTAGATGTATGATCATACAGAATGAAATCCTCAGAAGCACACGTTGCTAGTAGTCTGATCATAACATCTCAAATGAATCGTGTACAATACACATGCACATTAGGATTTTTTTTTTCTGAACCTTTTCAAGTAACCCGGTCTCTTCACACACATGCTCAATAAACTAAATTGTTTTCGAATAGGCTGCAATATTGCAAACTGGGAAGTAAATGCTTCAACACTTTTATGCATTTCGCATAATTAAGCGAGTTTACGAGCTCTTCCTTTTCTTCTTTTGAAAAATATAAGGGTGAAAATGTCTTGCAGCAACAAGAATAGCGAAAGGAGATTGGGAGAGCACGTAGTCTCGTGTTGAGACTACAGTTTCCAACTGATTGAGGGCTTTCAAAGGAAGACCTAAGTCTACATTTATTTAGACTTAGAGATGATCAAAAACATTTTCTTCAATTATGGATTGATACACTGTAATTTTCCCTGTAATATATTGAGGATCAAAACGAATAAATTAACTAAGTTAAACGAGTTGTCTGTGTTTTAAAAAAAATCTATAAAACTAATATATTGATAATTTTTGAAAAAAAAAGTCCCATTGAAACAAAATCTACTCTCTGGTCAAATATCTAAGGGTGTGTTTAGTTTCTGAAAAAAGTTGGAAGTTTGGGGAAAGTTGGAAGTTTGAAAAAAAAAGTTGGAAGTTTATGTGTGTAGGAAAGTTTTGGATGTGATGTGATGTGATGGAAAGTTGGAAGTTTGGGGTAGTTGGGAGTGAACTAAACACGAGCATTCATCTTATTCAAGATATTTATGTTAATATCATTCATTTTGTTGTGATTTGTTTTATTAGTAAAGATATTTTAAGCGTGACTTGTATTTTTTTTCATATTTATACTAATTTTTTTAATAAGACAAATGATCAAAAGTTAACAGCAGCGAAGTATAACAAAAAAAACACTTATCTTTTTCCTTTTGTTTTAAAAAGGAAAACAATCTCCTCCTCTCTGCTTGTAGCTAGCTTCATGTTAAAAGAAATCAATTATCATCCTAATGAATTATAGTAAGGTAATTAACTGGTAGTCTAGGAGGGCAGTTTTCATCACTATAATTCTATAAACCTAACCAGCTGAACTCCTCTCATTTTAATGTTTAAGATGGTTTTGTACAAGGTTCAAAATCCTCTTACGTTACCACACATCAAATTTATCTGGAACTTCCAGGATCGGAAATTAACAACTATATATATATATGTGGTGGGTTTTATCAAGATTCTTCCATTGCTAGCAGCAAAAATTCAACCGCTTGACAAAACTAATGCAATGGATGTACTATGATTTGATTTTAATTTTCAACACCTGCAGCATCTATAAAAGATCTTCAGATGTGTCTAAGTTTCACATATCTCTCACTTTCTTTGTATCATCCACTTGTTGGCCCTCCCTGCCATGATGCACTCCATAGCAGCAGCAACCCTTGGACTCTGCTTCTTCCTACTGCATGCCACAACCTCTAGTGCTCAACCAACAACCATCTCCTTTTGGCAGAAATAGTGGGGATAACATAACTTGCTGAGATGACAGATGATCAAACAAGCTCATGTGAGGTGTAATGTTCAGATGTATAGTACTAGGCAGGGTGCATCACTACCATATCAATCGTTTAATCACTTCTCAAACTTTTAATGCAATGACTTGTGAACACATGACATGAAAATTTCAGAGTTGCAAGCTAACACGAACTTTGCTTCTCTGAAAATTGTCTTGTTCTCTCCAGGTTCCAGTGCTAATAATTCCCATACTGCACAATGGTATGCCATCTTCAGAGCTTGTGAGCAGGCTGCATATGCTTAGTTTCAGCTCATTATTCTCTCATATTTGACAAATATTCCTTGATTTGTTACAGCAAGCTCATTAGACAATGAAAAGGATTTTAGAGAGAGTTTTTCTTTAACACGCACTAGTATGATGCATAAGCACATCAGGATTTTCAGAACTTCTTTAACCCTCCTCTCTCCACACAAATGCTTAGAAAACTGCCACCACTGAGCCCACTCCCATGAGAGCAATTTCCAGAACCACAAAAGTTGGACCATTCAATTCTGTAGTGGTGGTTTAGTCAAAGTCTTCCCTGAAAGCAATCTGCAGTCTGTACAAAACACAGCTATATATCTGTGTGCTCACTACCACAACAAACCTCAACCTATCTCTCATGAAGTCATGAGTCCCACCATTTCACCTGTCCTGGTTTTCCTCCTCCTATCACTTCATCAGAGCATATGCTCCAGTGCTCATGATGCTGCAAGTGCAAGCAGCTTCTCCTCCTGCCTTGCCACCCATGGTGTCAGCAACTTCTCCCTCCCTGCATCACCAAGCTACAATACCACCCTCAACTTCTCCATCAGAAATCTCCGGTTCACGCTCCCCGATGTCACCAGGCCGGCAGCCATCGTCCTTCCCTGGTCAAAGGAGGATCTCCGGCGAGCCATACTATGTGCACGCAACAGTTCGCTGGCGATCCGTGTACGCAGCGGCGGGCACAGCTACGAGGGCTTGTCATACACCACGGAGAACCATGTCCCCTTCGTTGTGATCGACCTCATGAACCTGAACCGTGTCCAGGTTGACTCGGTCTCGGCCACAGCCTGGGCCGAGGCCGGTGCGACTCTAGGTGAGCTCTACTACGCCGTGGGACGGTCGAGCCAGTCCTTGGCCTTCTCAGGCGGGTCGTGTTCCACCATCGGCTTAGGTGGTGTCATCTCCGGTGGCGGCTTTGGGTTGCTGTCACGGAAATTTGGGCTCGCCGCTGATAACGTATTGGATGCGGTGCTCGTTGACCCGAATGGAAGAGTCCTTGACCGGAATTCGATGGGCGAAGACATCTTTTGGGCAATTTGCGGTGGCGGTGGCGGGAGCTGGGGTGTGGTGTATGCTTGGAAGCTCCGGCTCGTGCCGGTTCCTCACAACGTCACCGTATTCATCGTTGACCGTACTGGACCGGTCGAGTACGTAGCTGGGTTGGTTCATTGGTGGCAGCATGTAGGGCCCAATCTACCTGACGAGTTCTATCTCTCAGTGTATTTTCCTACTGGATCATCAGATGGTAATGTCTCTGTCTCATTTGAGGGCCAGGTTTTAGGAACAAAACAACAAACCCTGTCAGTGTTGAGCCAAAGCTTTCCAATGTTAGGTGTCACTGAGTCTGACCTAAGTGAGATGAGTTGGGTCGAGTCAACAGCCAAGTTCGCCAATGTTGGCACAGTCTCTGACCTATCGAATCGGTCGCCTGGAACAAACTCATACACTAAGAGTAAGTCTGATTATGTGAAGGCACCAATCTCGAGGCATGACATGGTTGAGATCGCCCGATACCTATCAGCTGGACCACCAGGGTCCATCATACTTGACCCTTATGGAGGTGCCATGGCTCGAATCGGGAGTGACGCGACACCATTCCCACATCGAGCTGGCATCCTCTACAGTATTCAGTATACTGTATATTGGGGACAATCGGATCAAGCTAGGGCTAATGAGTACATCATATGGCTCCGATCGTTGTACACATACATGACCCCCCATGTGTCAAAGGATCCCCGTGGTGCGTATGTCAACTACCTAGATCTAGACTTGGGCGCCAACAACTGGACGCACCCCATAGGTGGATCATCTATGGAAGCAGTGGCGCGTGCGAGATCTTCTTGGGGTGCAGCATATTTTGGGAACAATTTCAATCGGTTGGTCAGCACCAAGACGACAATTGATCCAAGCAATGTGTTCAATAACGCTCAAAGCATTCCCCCTTTGAATTAGTTCTAGTGAAAATGTCAAATAGAAATGAAACTGGCTGTGTTCGGCAGCAATGGATTGGGAGAATAACTGCTATGTTTTTTTACAAGAATTTTTTTATAAGAAAGCTGCTTTAAAAATTATATTACTCCATTTTTAAGTTTTAAATAATTAATATTTAATTAATTATACGCTAATGGCTTATATTGTTCTACGTATCTCTTCAATCTTTTCCAACTGCAAAATTTCTTTTGAGAATATGCAGTATCTTTCACTTGTTCTGGTCCCAACTCGAAGAGAAAAACTTCAGTCCAATGTTGTGGGCTTGTGGCTGGCTGATGTTTGCTTCTACTGTAGCACAACAGTGGTAGGTGTATGGTGGTGATAGGCGCAGGTGAACAGTGGAATCTTACACACGAAGCATCGGATCTGACCAAAATGGAATCTCCCGTTGTTGTTGCGACCCTGATGGCGACTTAATCCATCAGATAATCAAGGAGTGGTAGTCCTCAAAAAAATAATCAGGGGTGGTTGTAGCTAGTGCCGTTTGGCTTGGAGCCATTTATATATAGTATTACTGTAATTTTCGCTCATTTCGTCAGGCTTTGAGCGCTAAGATGGCTTGACATGGGCACATGCATTGGCTGTAGCTTTCAGAGTCTTTGAAGCCTTTGGCTTGTTCATCTTAAATTCAAGCATAGTATGCTGTACTATGCTAACGACTCTTCGTTGAACAAGTTAATTTTTCAAGCTGACACTTAATCTGTAAGGAAACAGTTCAATGTAAGAGCTCCAGAGAAGCAAAAGCTTCTAGAAGACTTTGGCCAAACTGCTCTACTATAGAATATTAGGATGTGTGGTTTACCCTTAAAAGAGTAGGATAAAAATTCAAAAAAATAACAGTAGGATAAAAGTCATAGTGATCAATCCTAATAATTTAATTGTAACAATGCCTACCTCAAATGACTCTTTGCAACTCTCTAAATGACAGTTCAGGCAGGACCGCAAATAGTTTTTAGTTAAGAAATCATGGTGGAATTGGTTTTTAATTTCTGTATTTGACAAGAAACAAGTTGTGAGTACGTCTGTGTATTTCGCTTGCATAGTTGTGTACTTGTGTGTCTTATAACTGAGGCCAGGGATGCAGAACATTTCTACTATCTTAAAGAAAAATTTTAAAAAAATTTGGGAGTACATCTGTGTATTTTTGGTCGAGGCCAAGCCGGCGAGAAATTCCGGTCCAAAATTAAAAGAAGTGAGCTACGCATAGCAGAAAAGCTCTGTGATATTAAACAAGAAAAAAAAAGAGGCAAGTGTTGGGCTCATTCGTGGGAGGATCATTCTAGTAGTAGTACATATCAAGGAAAAAGTCCATGGTGACTCCCTCAGCTATTGGGTGAATTTGATCCGTATCCCTCAACCATAAAACCTGGTATATCGACTTCTCCAACTCTTAAAACCAGTATATCGACTTCTCCAACTCTTAAAACCATGCAAAATGATTTTCTCAATAGTATTGATTAGTGGTTTTTATTTACGTGCCATTCACGTGGCCTTTTAGAAGGCAAGTGCACCCCTTTGGAAGAAGCAGAGGTAGGGATGAAAACGGAGCGGATACGGACGAATAATGCTCATGCCATATTCGTTTTTATATTTTTTGCCGGATATGGATAGCTCGAATATGAAAAAAATACGGATTATCTCGAATATGAATAAGAATCGAATATGATCGGACACGAATATGGAAACAATTTTTTCTCGGAACATGAAAACCAACTCAGTTTTTAATAGAAACAAATATCAACATATATAATTAGCTCATTTTATATAAAATATAGTATAATTTATAAATATTTTTAAAAATTTAAATAATATTAATAGTGTGGACTAGTGTTAAGAGATAAACTACTATTAAAATCTAAAAAGGTATATTGAAAGTCATAGAGTTATAAAGAAATGGAGTATGTCTCATGGCTTCTACGGATATCCGAATAGCACTATTCACCGGATATCCGAATTATTATCCGTATAAGACAGAAATCTCGATACCATATTCGTATTCGTATCCAGGAGAAAATATCCATATTCGTATCCGTATCCAAACTATACGGAAATTATCCTATCCGAAATGTATCCGTATTCGTTCTTCTTTGAAGCGGATGGAAACTATCCGCTCCGTTTTCATCCCTAAGCAGAGGGGATAAGTTAGTAAGGTGATGATGACCTAATGCTACCTATTCGAGCTGGTTGACTAATGGCTTGTAGTCGGAAAAAGGCAAGGACAGGCTTGACGCCTTACGCACATACTCATCCACCTCATCCCCATCGTCATGTGTCCTCTTCTCTGACAGATCCATGGTCACAGCGGTGTGAGAGAGATGACGAACGATGTGGCCGCGATGAGGGAGAGTTGCTCGGAAACATCACCATGCATCGGCTGCCCGACAAAGTGGCCTATCTCTCTTCTCGATCCGCGCAACGAAGGTGGTGAACCACCACGCCGCCTACTCCACCACACCGTCGCGCGTCCTATTTTATCTGTCGCTGCGCTGTTGGCTACTACAATCTGTCCTCAACCTCCCGCCGACCGCCGTCGCCTAGATGCTACCGAGAAGATATAGGGAGGAGAAGACGGTGGAGGTAGAGAAGTAAGGAGAGGGAGAGGATGATACAAGGGCCTCGCTCTATTTTTTTTTTAAAAGAAAAAAATATGTATGCCTAGGCTACGACGTGGATGTTAGCTGAAGTCATCCTAACAAACATTCGAGGGAGTTGTTTTCTATTGGTTTTAAGCTGTGTTCGACATTATACTCTCTCTTTTTTAACTTGTACTTCCTCATTTTTTACGCACACATTCACAGATCAACACATAATTAAACCATCACGTTGAAAGCTCACGTTTGGTGGTGCGCTGCTCCGATGGAGGCGGCACGGACGGAGCAGCAATGGTGAGACGGCACGGCACGGTAAGCAATAATTGGAGCGCCCCGCAATCACAATGCATGATCCATCCATCCGTGACACGCAGTACACTAGTCCGTGTGCAGCCTGAAAATCATGACGAATGAATGCCCAGCCCAGACACGAAAACGACACTCCTACTCCACGCTTGCACGCCCACAGCACAGTACTACAGTGCACGCAGTCAATAAATAGTACTTCAGCCGGAGTGGGACACAATTATTTATTTATGGCGCCACCACGGCTCATCTCATCGGCCCAATCCCTACATCAGTACCCATGTCTTTATGGTGGAATAAGTTAAAATGTATATATTTGTAAACGAGAATTAATTTACAAATAAAACTTATATATATATATGTGTATGTTTTTAACGTTTAAAAATAAATACTGAAAAATAAACTATGATTTAAAAAAATCAACTTCAAGATTAAAAATTTAAATTCTAGCTTACAAACGTAAGCATAAGCGAAGGGAAGGGATAAGATTGTCAGTGAGAGACGAAGGGGTTGTTTAGATTGTGACCAAAATAAACCTTACTCCCTCCATTTCATGTTATAAGACTTTCTAGCATTACCCATATTCATATATATGTTAATGAATCTAAACATATATATCTAAATTCATTAACATATATGTGAATGTGGATAATGCTAGAAAGTCTTATAATATAAAACGGAGGAAGTACCATATTTTGGTAAGTTGGTACTATTTGCAGAATTTCTTACTCTTACGTATTTATCAAAGTTTGAGAAGAAATTAGATGTATGTCGAAACATGAATTCGGCAATAATAAAACGGGGTAGCGTACGAGACCTAAAAGTGGATGGATGTGGAGACAAAGGATTTAGACAGGTTCAGGCCCTCTCAATGAGAGGTAATACCCTACTCCTGTTTGGGGATTTGAATCCGCCGGGTGTATTATAGATCTGACGATCTAGTTGTCTCATGCCCCCTAGAGGGCCTCCTGCCCACCTTATATAGGACGGGGGGCAGGATTACAAGATAGAAACCTTAACCAATACGGTATCGGTTTCCTAAATCTACTTTACAATCTTATCAAACCAGGACTTTAGGCCGTTTCATAATACACAGGGAAACGTAATACCCAAGTCATGATCTGTTACATATTATATATATATAAATTATCCCCTATGACTAGTCGGATAACCATGCCGTATGGGTATGGGGTACCCACAATATCCACAGTAGCCCCCGAGACCTTCGCAGTCGAAAAGATAATCTTCTCTCGAACCAGATTACTCCAAAGCCGAGTGCTTCAATCATCTTTGTCATGGTCTCCCGAGTACTTTTACCAAATCTGAAGACTGTGGAGGGCTGGAAAATAAAGTCAGGTGCACCGACTAGATGCACCTAATAGGTGTAGCTCCCGACAATGTGGTTAATTGAACAAACCAAGCATATAGTCAAGGAATAAATAATCCAACCAACCGAGTGGTTTCGATAATCGTAATCAACCAAGTGACTTGATATCAATATATAGCATATGCGGTGTGAATCCCTGAATAACATGATCCGAGTGATATACCGACTGCTTTGTAAAATATGATGAGTGTAACCTAAAGTTGGCTACATTATTGAAAATTCACATAGCAAAACAGCTATAAAAAAGCTTGTATGTTGTGAATAAAGAAATTTCCAAAGTATTGGGCATACGCCATGCGCACACTGCTTTAACAGATGTGCTTAAGTCCCTAGAAGACACATGGTTCCACCACACCTGGAAATATATGGCATATGTGGTATAAAATCCGAGTAAATAAACTCATAAAGGATTTACCAACCGCCTGAAAAATGACCACAATATATAATCAGCCTAAGCCATAATATTGGTCAATAAAAATGCACACTTACGTGGCAAAAAGCAACGATATTGTATCCAATCAATTGCTTAAAAACCCAAACAGCACCATGACTATATTAAAAAGTCAGCGGGGCAGCTATATAAAGCTTTACTGTTTGACACCTTTTAAGATGCATTGTACCAACTCCTAAAAAGTTGAGTAACTGCGGTATAAAAGGATTTTAAGGTATTGGGCACTTGATCACGCGCACTTTGGCCTAAGCAAAAAGTGCCTAAGTCCCTAAAAGAACGTGACAGGCCACAACTGAAAATATGGGCTGCAGACATATTAGGCCTAGGCCAAAAAATATGCCTTCGACACCCTTTAAAGGATGACGCATGTAACATGCTCCCGAGTAATAAATCTTCCGGGTAATATAGACCAAGTGTAGCTCATATGAATAGCTTCTGATCTGAATGATTATCCCTTATGGGATACTCCAAAATAAATATAATAATTGAATCCCGACTGGCGCAAGTATTCGGTTGATAGCCCTTACGGGGAATAATAATTGGTCCAGTCTTTGAGCATAGAAAATAGACTCATGACTATGAATCCATGTGGAATGTATCCGGAACAAGTCCAAATTGGAGATATAATCCTCACGCTTGAGTTGATGAGCCCCTGAGCATATAGCTTGTCCTTCTGTCATAGTCAAAATTGTCCATTGATGGTAGCTGACGCAGTTGGCATAGAGACAAGACGACCAACATAGAGATAATATTGCCCACCAGAGGTGGCAAAAAATATTGGTGGTAGTGAAGATAATGATACCAATCAAAAGTGATGAAGTTGCACAGCCATGGAGGCGAAGAAACCAGTC